TATTGGTGCAGGCTACTGCATTTGGATGAATGCAGACTGCCAAGGCTACCTAATGGATGACTCTGGCTGTACCACATGGGCTACTCATATTAAAGATATTCTGTTTAGACCTGGATTTGAATATGTGTGGTTAACACAAGATGTGGGAAAAGTCAAGATATATATTCTCCTTTTAAAACCATGATTATTTAACAACCTACAACTATCATGGTGTTGTTCTATCAACAGTTTATCTGATTCCTTCTATTTATATTCCATGATGTGTCCGTTTCCGATTACATAAAAACAACTGTAGCTGTATCTGGAGTGGGATGGGTAATGGGGTACATTCAGTTTTATTTTTATCACAGTCATGTGATTTTACATATCTAGAAAATGACAGGCATCACGCAGATGTTGTAATGCCATGGTCACTGAAGATCATTATGTCTATTCCATCACCATGATCAACCTCATGCAAAATGGAAGAATAGAAATGGATGTTATTTTGAAATGATATATGCAAAATGAGTAAAAATAATAAATATATTCTTCTTCACATACATTGTCAAAAACAAATGGTTGAATTAATCAGTTATGTGTTACACATGTATTAGATCTATTTATTATTGATTACATAATGTGGTAAACAACAAATTTCTAGTTACTATTACTGGGTGTTCAGTTTATTTCCAGCATACAACAGGAGAAAATGGGACCAAATCATCGAATTATACGTCATCAACTATGTTAAAATAAAGATGCTAACTATATTCAATCAATGTGGTCGTTCAGAACCATGTTTTATGTGTACGATTTTGACACAATAGCGAGATGGCAGGAAATATCAACGCACATGTCGGTGTTGAAAATGGGGTCTTTGTTATTGTAACGATTTTCGTGTCTCGAACCTGCATAAATAACGTTTTCGTACACGGAAAGATTTACGGAAACTATCGATGTTTACCGAAGAGAGGCCAGACATTTGTTCAAAGCAGAGGGTAGTGCTAACGCGAGGGTCAGTGTTCAAAATCAAAAGCGGGTAGACGAATTGAATACAATGAGCAGAAAGGTAAAAGAATACAAGCTCAAAACAATGTTTTGTGAAAAACGTAAGTTTTCATTTACGGAAACTGTCGATGTTTACCGAAGAGAGGCCAGACATTTGTTCAAAGCAGAGGGTAGTGCTAATGCGAGGGTCAGTGTTCAAAATCAAAAGCGGGTAGACAAATTGAATACAATGAGCAGAAAGGTAAAAGAATACAAGCTCAAAACAATGTTTTGTGAAAAACGTAAGTTTTGATTGAACCGCACGTTAAAATAGTCGGGCTGTCCGGTTTTCGATAAGGTTTTGAGCATCGCCAGTGTCACCCTTTGAGTATTGTATGTAATGAGTGTAGCGGTAGAATTTTCTTAAAAATTCATTTCTTCACCGATCTCGTTCAAATTTGAAATATAGGTTAATCATAACATAAAAAACAACAATATACGATTGCAAAAGTCTAGACTTTTATTTGTATTGTCCAAACAGTGATTCGAACTCCTGTGGTTATATAATGCATACTATAATCAATATTTTAACAAAGCGCGACACGCGACAATGCGACAACGCGACATTTCATCAAAATGTCGCGTTGTCGCATTGTCGCGTGTCGCGTTTTAATCAAATACGTTATAATACATACCATACTCAATATTTTAACAAAGCGCGACACGCGACGCGCGACAACGCGACATTTCATCAAAATGTCGCGTTGTCGCATTGTCGCGTGTCGCGTTTTAGTCAAATACGTTATAATACATACTATACTCAATATTTTAACAAAGCGCGACACGCGCGACGCGCGACAACGCGACATTTCATCAAAATGTCGCGTTGTCGCATTGTCGCGTCGCGTTTTAGTCAAATACGTTATAATACATACTATACTCAATATTTTAACAAAGCGCGACACGCGACGACGCGCGACAACGCGACATTTCATCAAAATGTCGCGTTGTCGCATTGTCGCGTCGCGTTTTAGTCAAATACGTTATAATACATACCATACTCAATATTTTAACAAAGCGCGACGCGACAACGCGACAACGCGACATTTCATCAAAATGTCGCGTTGTCGCATTGTCGCGTCGCGTTTTAGTCAAATACGTTATAATACATACTATACTCAATATTTTAACAAAGCGCGACACGTGACGCGCGACAACGCGACATTTCATCAAAATGTCGCGTTGTCGCATTGTCGCGTGTCGCGTTTTATTAGTTACCGCGGAATTTCAAAACTATTACAAGGATGATTATGTTTAGATGTTTTTTAAAGGGCTATAAGATACACAGGGATCGAACTCAGAGTAATAATAAATGTGGCCGTGAAGTCTGTGGGTTAAGAGTTCTTGGTTAATGGAATGGATGTGTTGAAACTGGCCATTTTGCTGAAAATTATTATGATTGAGTAGGTGTATGTCTGAAACGATACAAGTACATGTGTATCGCTTGGTATATTATTATTATTATAAATAATATAGGATTCAAATAGAATTGAAAAACAGATAAAACACATTATTGTAATGAAATATCTTGCTAATTTACCAAGTTCCCTAAACCTTGAGTGAGTGAGTGAGTGAGGAGTGACAGTGGAGTGGAGAGGAGAGGAGTGTAGAGGGGAGGAGTGGAGAGGAGAGGAGAGGAGAGGAGCGGAGAGGAGAGGTGCGGAGAGGAGAGGAGCGGAGAGGAGAGGAGCGGAGTGGAGCGGAGAGGAGAGGAGTGGAGAGGAGAGGAGCGGAGAGGAGAGGTGCGGAGTGGAGAGGAGCGGAGAGGAGAGGAGCGGAGAGGAGAAGAGAGGAGAGGAGCGGAGAGGAGCGGGGTAGAGAAGAGCGGAGTGGGGTGGAGCGGAGCGCAGTGGAGTGGAGCGGAGCGGATTGAGAGAGGGAGGGTTGGTTTCTGCCACTCTAAGGGTACGCAACTCTGCTAAGCGATTTCATCGTTTCTAATATCATAATGATAACAGTCCATTTGTATGGCGTTTTCCCAAGAAGAATATCACGTTCAAAGCCGACCTAAACTGTCTTTGAGGTGCTGGATGATTAAGTGATATTACCATCTCATTCTACCTGGTATCCATCCACTGCTGGTTGAACAGAGGCAGATGTCGGACAAATTCATCAGGGTCGGACAGGACTGTACCAAGAAACTCTGTCAGGAGCCACACTGTCGAACATAGTGACCCATTGGGGGACTTCACCTGATGTTTATGCCGATGTGGCCTGAATTTTAACAATATTTGAGTTTTTTGACAACCTGTGAGCTTGATATAGGTGAAATGTTCAAAGTGATGAATGTGTATGGTGCTGGGATTCGAACCTATGATCATAGTTATCTAGTGTGACTAAGAGACACAACCCTGCATAGCAAATTGCCTCGCCTTGAATGACAGGGCCACCGTGTGCCATCATTACAATGAATAGTAGCGCTAATGATTTGTCTGGCTGCTAAAACACACTTGATTGGCTAAACACAGTTACGATATATAATATAATAAGGCAACAATGGAAGATTTCCATTAATTTCAAGAAAAGCAGCCCCCATTGCCATTACGAGCACAACTTCATCGTAAAAACCATTGGAGGTAACAAAAGACCAGTGAAGTCTGAAAAAGAGTATAACATTGTCTGCGCATGCGTAGACTAATTGACTTTCTACACATGCGCACCGGTAATCGAAAAAGGGCGAAAACGCGACACGCGACACGCGACAACGCGACATATGATATGTCGCATTGTCGCGTGTCGCGTTTTAATCATATGTTATAATACATACTATACTCAATATTTTAACAAAGCGCGACACGCGACAATGCGACAACGCGACATTTCATCAAAATGTCGCGTTGTCGCAATGTCGATAATCGCGTTTTAGTAAATTTTAGGCTGTTTTTACACATCTTACATAGGGCGACGCGCGACAACGCGACATATTTTGACCTTGAAAATTGTCGCTATGTCGCGTGTCGCCCTTTGGAGGAATGAAAAAATATATTATTCAAAACGCGACACGCGACAATGCGACAAATGGGCGAAATGTCGCGTTGTCGCGATGTCGCGCGTCGCGTTTTGTTTAATTTTGCTTGTATTTGAGAGGGCGACAACGCGACAATGTCCCTTCCAGGATTCCATAAAATCCTTATACCGTTGTCACTCTTGCATTAGTCGATGAACGTCAGATGACCATAGGTTTTGTTAGATGTCTCCTACTGTCCATCATTCACCATGACAAGTCAAACTCGTAAATATCGCATGTATCCGTCTCCATTCTGAATCACTCAACAAGCGATCGGTCTGTCTAGCGTTCATGAAAGCGCTCATGCATTCCGTCCGCCTCACACAGTGTTGTGCAAGTCTAGGAATTTCAAAGTTAACCTTGATTCATACGTTTGCCTAACGACAGTTGGTTCAGCGCTGCAAATTTTGACACCAACGACGTCTTGCAGTGAGGTGTCGGACCGTCATTCCGGACGTAGGCGTACAGATTTCTTCTGTCCTCTCACTCTCCAATTTCTTCTGTCCTCTCACTCTCCAATTTGAGCTTCGTGACACAGTCGTTCTGATGAAACGGATGTTTTGCACCGTTTCACCTTTGGTCGACCAGAACGACGTCTGTCATTAGCGTTATTTGTCTGTCGACATCGTGATTGAAATCTGCTAATTAATGACTGTGAAACGTTAGAACTCGAGATAGAATGATCTGTTTTGTTCCAACTTCATGCTAACTTTTCGTACCGTCCCTGACGCATGTTAAATATTCTTTTATAGGAGTTTATAACAGTATCAGAACAATATCCACTCTGGTGTTTATCACTGAAATGTATAGCAAAATACTTACACTTTTCACGGTAAATTTCTAATTTTACCCAGACCCTGTTCAAATAATAAAAAATAACCCGCATGTAACTGTTATTTACACACCACGTGCATCAAGTACATTTGTAAGATTATCATTATTATTATTGTTTCCGGTATTACAGCTCCATGCTTGGTCAGCTACCGTCCCGAGTCCTTCTCTCTGGTGTCTGTACTGGCCAGTATGTGTCTGTGTGTCGTGTCATTGATCTTTCATATTTCAGCTCCATGCTTGGTCAGCTACCGTCCCGAGCCCTTCTCCATGGTGTCTATACTGGCCAGTATGTGTCTGTGTGTCATGTCATGGATCTTTCTGATTTCAGCTTCATGCTTGGTCAGCTACCGTCCCGAGTCCTTCTCCCTGGTGTCTATACTAGCCAGTATGTGTCTGTGTGTCGTGTCATTGATCTTTCTGATTTCAGCTTCACGCTAGGTCAGCTACCGTCCCGAGTCCTCCCTGGTGTCTATACTAGCCAGTATGTGTCTGTGTGTCATGTCATGGATCTTTCTGATTTCAGATTCATGCTTGGTCAGCTACCGTCCCGAGTCCTTCTCCCTGGTGTCTATATCAGCCAGTATGTGTCTGTGTGTCAGTGTCATGGATCTTTCTGATTTCAGATTCATGCTTGGTCAGCTACCGTCCCGGGAGTCCTTCTCCCTGGTGTCTATACTGGCCAGTATGTGTCTGTGTGTCGTGTCATGGATCTTTCTGATTTCAGCTTCATGCTTGGTCAGCTACCGTCCCGAGTCCTTCTCCCTGGTGTCTATACTGGCCAGTATGTGTCTGTGTGTCGTATCATGGATCTTTCTGATTTCAGCTTCACGCTAGGTCAGCTACCGTCCCGAGTCCTCCCTGGTGTCTATACTGGCCAGTATGTGTCTGTGTGTCATGTCATGGATCTTTCTGATTTCAGATTCATGCTTGGTCAGCTACCGTCCCGTGTCCTTCTCCCTGGTGTCTATACTAGCCAGTATGTGTCTGTGTGTCGTGTCATGGATCTTTCTGATTTCAGCTTCACGCTAGGTCAGCTACCGTCCCGAGTCCTCCCTGGTGTCTATACTAGCCAGTATGTGTCTGTGTGTCGTGTCATGGATCTTTCTGATTTCAGCTTCACGCTAGGTCAGCTACCGTCCCGAGTCCTTCTCCCTGGTGTCTATACTAGCCAGTATGTGTCTGTGTGTCATGTCATGGATCTTTCTGATTTCAGATTCATGCTTGGCCAGCTACCGTCCCGAGTCCTCCCTGGTGTCTATACTAGCCAGTATGTGTCTGTGTGTCATGTCATGGATCTTTCTGATTTCAGATTCATGCTTGGTCAGCTACCGTCCCGAGTCCTTCTCCCTGGTGTCTATACTGGCCAGTATGTGTCTGTGTGTCGTGTCATGGATCTTTCCGATTTCAGCTTCATGCTTGGTCAGCTACCGTCGAGTCCTTCTCCTGGTGTCTATACTGGCCAGTATGTGTCTGTGTGTCGTGTCATGGATCTTTCTGATTTCAGCTTCACGCTAGGTCAGCTACCGTCGAGAGTCTCCCTGGTGTCTATACTAGCCAGTATGTGTCTGTGTGTCATGTCATGGATCTTTCTGATTTCAGATTCATGCTTGGTCAGCTACCGTCCCGAGTCCTCCTGGTGTCTATACTAGCCAGTATGTGTCTGTGTGTCATGTCATGGATCTTTCTGATTTCAGATTCATGCTTGGTCAGCTACCGTCGAGTCCTCCCTGGTGTCTATACTAGCCAGTATGTGTCTGTGTGTCATGTCATGGATCTTTCTGATTTCAGATTCATGCTTGGCCAGCTACCGTCCCGAGTCCTTCTCCTGGTGTCTATACTGGCCAGTATGTGTCTGTGTGTCATGTCATGGATCTTTCTGATTTCAGATTCATGCTTGGTCAGCTACCGTCCCGAGTCCTTCTCCCTGGTGTCTATACTAGCCAGTATCCGTATTTGTGTCGTGTCATTGATCTTTCTGATTTCAGCTTCATGCTTGGTCAGCTACCGTCCCGTGTCCTTCTCCCTGGTGTCTATACTAGCCAGTATGTGTCTGTGTGTCGTGTCATGGATCTTTCTGATTTCAGCTTCACGCTAGGTCAGCTACCGTCCCGAGTCCTCCCTGGTGTCTATACTAGCCAGTATGTGTCTGTGTGTCGTGTCATGGATCTTTCTGATTTCAGCTTCACGCTAGGTCAGCTACCGTCCCGAGTCCTTCTCCTGGTGTCTATACTAGCCAGTATGTGTCTGTGTGTCATGTCATGGATCTTTCTGATTTCAGATTCATGCTTGGCCAGCTAACAAATCGAGTCCTCCCTGGTGTCTATACTAGCCAGTATGTGTCTGTGTGTCATGTCATGGATCTTTCTGATTTCAGATTCATGCTTGGTCAGCTACCGTCCCGAGTCCTTCTCCCTGGTGTCTATACTGGCCAGTATGTGTCTGTGTGTCGTGTCATGGATCTTTCCGATTTCAGCTTCATGCTTGGTCAGCTACCGTCCCGAGTCCTTCTCCCTGGTGTCTATACTGGCCAGTATGTGTCTGTGTGTCGTGTCATGGATCTTTCTGATTTCAGCTTCACGCTAGGTCAGCTACCGTCCCGAGTCCTCCCTGGTGTCTATACTAGCCAGTATGTGTCTGTGTGTCATGTCATGGATCTTTCTGATTTCAGATTCATGCTTGGTCAGCTACCGTCCCGAGTCCTCCCTGGTGTCTATACTAGCCAGTATGTGTCTGTGTGTCATGTCATGGATCTTTCTGATTTCAGATTCATGCTTGGTCAGCTACCGTCCCGAGTCCTCCCTGGTGTCTATACTAGCCAGTATGTGTCTGTGTGTCATGTCATGGATCTTTCTGATTTCAGATTCATGCTTGGCCAGCTACCGTCCCGAGTCCTTCTCCCTGGTGTCTATACTGGCCAGTATGTGTCTGTGTGTCATGTCATGGATCTTTCTGATTTCAGATTCATGCTTGGTCAGCTACCGTCCCGAGTCCTTCTCCCTGGTGTCTATACTAGCCAGTATCCGTATTTGTGTCGTGTCATTGATCTTTCTGATTTCAGCTTCATGCTTGGTCAGCTACCGTCCCGAGTCCTTCTCCCTGGTGTCTATACTGGCCAGTATGTGTCTGTGTGTCGTGTCCACCTTCTGTAAGGAACAGGGCATCACTGTCATAGTAAGTGGTTTCGCAATTTAAAGGCATGCCGGTATAAACTACAAATATGTTGCATGACATGGTGATGTTAACAACTCCTGTGATAAAGGTAATATAACATCAATGCATGCTTGAGTAACAACTTGTGGACTGTTGGTCAGATTATTAGGTGTTAACTGTTGATCAGACCATTATGTGTTCACTATTGGTCAGATCATTATGTGTTCACTGTTGGTCAGATCATTTTATGTTCACTGTGGGACCGATCATTATGTGCCCACTGTTGGTAAGATCATTATGTGTTCACTGTTGGTCAGATCATTTTATGTTCACTGTGGGACAGATCATTATGTGTACACTGTTGGTCAGATCATTATGTGTTCACTGTTGGACAGATCATTATGTGTACACTGTTGGACAGATCATTATGTGTACACTGTTGGTCTGATCATTATGTGTTCACTGTTGGACAGATCATTATGTGTACACTGTTGGTCTGATCATTATGTGTACACTGTTGGTCTGATCATTATGTGTTCACTGTTGGTCAGATCATTATGTGTTCACTGTTGGTCAGATCATTATGTGTACACTGTGGATCAGATCATTATGTGTACACTATTGGTAAGATCATTATATGTTCACTGTTGGTCAGATCATTATGTGTTCACTGTTGGTAAGATCATTATGTGTTCACTGTTGGTCAGATCATTATGTATTCACTGTGAGCCAGATCATTATCTGTTCACTGTTGGTCAGATGATTATGTGTTCACTGTGGGTCAGATCATTATGTGTACACTGTTGGTAAGATCATTATGTGTTCATGTTGGTCAGATCATTATGTGTTCACTGTTGGTAAGATCATTATGTGTTCATGTTGGTCAGATCATTATGTGTTTACTGTTGGTCAGATGATTATGTGTACACTGTGGGTCAGATCATTATGTGTTCACTGTGGATCAGATCATTATGTGTTCACTGTTGGTCAGATCATTATGTGTTTACTGTTGGTCAGATGATTATGTGTACACTGTGGGTCAGATCATTATGTGTTCACTGTGGATCAGATCATTATGTGTTCACTGTTGGTCAGATCGTTATGGGTTCACTGTCGGTAAGATCAGTATGTGCCCACTGTGGGCCAGATCAGTATGTGTTCACTGTTTGTCAGATCGTTATGTGCCCACTGTTGGTCAGATTAGTATGTGTTCACTGTTGGTCAGATCGTTATGTGTTCACTGTTAGTCAGATCATTATGGGTTCACTGTTGGCAAGATCGTTATGTGCCCACTGTGGGCCAGATCATTATGTGTTCACTGTTGGTCAGATCGTTATGTGTACACTGTTGGTCAGATCATTATGTGTTCATGTTGGTAAGACCATTATGTGTTCACTGTGGGTAAGATCATTATGTGTTCATGTTGGTAAGATCATTATGTGCCAACTGTGGGCCAGATCAGTATGTGTTCACAGTTGGTCAGATCATTATGTGTTCACTGTTGGTCAGATCGTTATGGGTTCACTTTTGGCAAGATCGTTATGTGCCCACTGTTGGTCAGATTAGTATGTGTTCACTGTTGGTCAGATCGTTATGTGCCCACTGTTGGTCAGATTAGTATGTGTTCACTGTTGGTAAGATCGTTATGTGTTCACTGTTAGTCAGATCATTATGGGTTCACTGTTGGCAAGATCGTTATGTGCCCACTGTAGGCCAGATCATTATGTGTTCACTGTTGGTCAGATCGTTATGTGCCCACTGTGGATCAGATCATTATGTGTTCACTGTGGATCGGATCATTAGGTGTTCACTGTGGATCGGATCATTATGTGTACACTGTTGGTCAGATCATTATGTGTTCATGTTGGTAAGATCATTATGTGTTCACTGTTGGTAAGATCATTAAGTGTTCACTGTTGGTCAGATCATTATGTGTTCACTGTTGGTCAGATCATTATGTGTTCACTGTTGGCAAGATCGTTATGTGCCCACTGTGGGCCAGGATCCGGTTGTATCATTGCTTCATTAACTAATGTCAACATTAAACCCTAATGATACATGAAATCCTTAATGCATCATTAGTTAGTGGCATCATTAAAAACGGTTGTATCAAACACTTATTAGCGTATAATATTAGCGTATCATTATCTAATTACGTCCTAATGTAAATATTTTCATTAAATCCGGGGATTCCCCTACTTTTTCCCCACAATTCCGCGCTGTAAACATGTAAGTGTTACTCTCGGTCGTCTGTCAAAAGGGCATCTTTAGGGCTAAACCTCGGAACAAAAACAAACATTTCGACTGCTGTGAAGAAACACGTCTAAATAATTCTGAAACGTCACCGATAAACCTAGAATCGGTTGGGATGTTTTGGAAAATACAAGAACACGAACGCCAAAGTGAGCTTCCGCCATGTTGGATAGTGTTTACAAAATCAAGTTTCGCTATGGCCAGTCATAGGACGCCTATTACATCATGTATACTTCATATTCAGTTGTGACAAATGTATCGCTGAATTCCTCATACATTTTAGAATCAAATTCCAAATGGTCTTTGTCACTAAAACCAAGTGTCTAAGAAAAAACGAAACATCGGGTGTGAAAATGGGACGTTGTGCTCATTGCACAGCGCTTCCTGGAAATATAAACAAAGCAAAATCAGATTTTGTACTGTGCAGCATTTTCTCAATTTTTTATACATCAGTTCGTCTATTCGTAGCATGCATGAGCTCAATATTTTTAGAATATGCACGGAAAGAGTATCGTAGCAAGAACTAGAAAACTTAAAACAGATACAATACTGAAATTTGATATATTAGCACGTTAAGTTCTGAGCAGCGTGACGCCATGCGAGACGCAAAATCATGGAAAACGACATAGGCAATTATCAGCATTTCTGACGTTTTCAATGAAAACAATAAAAACAAAGAGCATACGCAGATATTCAGAATGTTTCCGATTACTTACATCATACATTTATGGACAAAGGTTCCCTCGCAAAATCGTGGGCACCCATATCCACGAAGCCGAAAGAAATCGGTCATCGGTAGTGATGTCATACATCAACATTGTTGGACATATGTGGCAATTTCTTTGAGGTGAAGGTCGGTTGAATTAGAGTAAACACAATCACACTGTCCTGCAGATTATACTTGTATTATTAATGTATACTTTGCGTATCGTTCACATATGGTTTCATGAAACTAATTTCATTATCAACATTTAGTATTTTAAACCTAAGTAAAACTGACATAATAAATAAAAATGATTTATTTATTTCATGAAATGTATATATGCACACGTTTTTAAAGGATATGTCTTGTTCATTGAATTTGTTTATGTTGTGTTATAGACAAAACAATGGCGTATAATCATTGGCCAGGTGCGCGTTTGTCACAAATGTTTTGAGTATCATTGTTTTCGATAATTCCGTGAACAAAACATCACGAAAATATGGTGTCCTTATTTACAGCAAATTCTCGAGTTACAATGACTTAGTATTAAGCATACCGGAGTTAGGCCCCCTTATCTTTATAAGCGTGTGACCATTATGTAGCCATTTGACGTCATAGGGGAAAATCCATTTTCAACACATATTGCGAGTACCTTTTAAGATTGAGTGTATAACGTTATACATAAGCACACAAACTAATTTAATACATTCCTATGTCATTCAGGTATCAGGCAGAATTTTGTTCGCTCACACTTTCCGTAAAGATGCCAAATTGAAAATATAGTAGCACAGTACTTTTATCAGAGCACGATAAAAAGCAGAGAAATTTACTGTTTTTAACGCAGAACGAAATTAGGAGTAACATTCAGCAGTGTCTACTTTTCAAACTGAGTTTATACCATGAGATACGACATTTAATACTCTACATTCCTGTGTAATTTTATAGCTGTAGGTAGATCCAGTGCGGCGCAAACGAAATTCTGGCGCAATGTTCACTTTTCCAGGAAGTTTAATGACGCTCTAATGATACCCCAGGACCTTCATTAAGTTAATGACGCACTAATGACAACAGAGCATCATTAAAACGTTAGTACAACAGAATTTAATGATACATTAGTTAATGGACGTTTACTGGCACGTTAATGCTTCATTAAAGTTTGATACAACCGGGTCCAGATCATTATGTGTTCACTGTTGGTCAGATTGTTATGTGCCCACTGTGGACCAGATCATTATGTGTTGACTGTTGGTAAGATCATAATGTGTTCACTGCTGGTCAGATCATTATGTGCCCACTGTGGGCCAGATCATTATGTGTTCACTGTGGATCAGATCATTATGTGTTCACTGTTGGTAAGATCAGTATGTGTTCACTGTTGGTCAGATCATTATGTGTACACTGTGGATCAGATCATAATGTGTACACTGTTGGTCAGATCATTATGTGTTCACAGTTGGTCAGATCATTATGTGTTCACAGATGGTCAGATGATTATGTGTTCACTGTTGGTCAGATCATTATGTGTCCACTGTTGGTCAGATCATTATGTGTTCACAGTTGGTCAGATCATTATGTGTTCACTGTTGGTAAGATCAGTATGTGTTCACTGTTGGTCAGATCATTATGTGTTCACTGTTGGTCAGATCATTATGTGTTCACAGTTGGTGAGATCATTATGGGTTCACAGTTGGTCAGATCATTATGTGTTCACTGTTGGTCAGATCGTTATGTGTTCACTGTTGGTCAGATCATTATGTGTTCACTGTGGGCCTGGTCAGTATGTGTTCACAGTTGGTCAGATGAGTATGTGTACACTGTGGATCAGATCATTATGTGTTCACTGTGGGCCAGATCATTATGTGTTCACTGTTGGTCAGATCATTATGTGTTCACTGTGGATCAGATCGTTATGTGTACACTGTTGGTCAGATCATTATGTGTTCATGTTGGTAAGATCATTATGTGTTCACTGTTGGTCAGATCATTATGGGTTCACTGTTGGTAAGATCATTATGTGTTCACTGTTGGTCAGATCATTATGGGTTCACTGTTGGCAAGATCGTTATGTGCCCACTGTGGGCCAGATCAGTATGTGTTCACAGTTGGTCAGATCAGTATGTATTCACAGTTAGTCGGATCATTATGTGTTCACAGTTGGTCAGATCATTATGTGTTCACTGTTGGTCAGATCATTATGTGTTCATTGTTGGTAAGATCAGTATGTGTTCACAGTTGGTCTGATCATTATATGTTCACTGTTGGTCAGATCATTATATGTTCACTGTTGGTCAGATCATTATGTGTTCACAGATGGTCATATCATTACGTGTTCACTGTTGGTCAGATCATTATGTGTTCACTGTGGGCCAAATCATTATGCGTTCACTGTTGGTCAGATCATTATGGGTTCACTGTTGGCAAGATCGCTATGTACCCACTGTGGGCCAGATCATTATGTGTTCACTGTTGGTCAGATTGTTATGTGCCCACTGTGGATCAGATCATTATGTGTTTGCTGTTGGTAAGATCAGTATGTGTTCACTGTTGGTCAGATCATTATGTGCCCACTGTGGGCCAGATCATTATGTGTTCACTGTGGATCAGATCATTATGTGTTCACTGTTGGTAAGATCAGTATGTGTTCACTGTTGGTCAGATCATTATGTGCCCACTGAGGGCCAGATCAGTATGTGCCCACTGTTGGTCAGATCATTATGTGTACACTGTGGATCAGATCATTATGTGTACACTGTTGGTCAGATCATAATGTGTTCACTGTAGGTAAGATAATTATGTGTTCACTGTTGGTAAGATCATTAAGTGTTCACTGTTGGTAAGATCATTATGTGTTCACTGTTGGTAAGATCATTATGGGATCACTGTTGGCAAGGTCGTTATGTGCCCACTGTGGGCCAGATCAGTATGTGTTCACAGCTGGTCAGATGATTATGTGTTCACTGTTGGTCTGATCATTATGTGTTCACAGATGGTCAGATCATTATGTGTTCACTGCTGGTCAGATCATTATGTGTTCACTGTTGGTCAGATCATTATGTGTTCACAGTTGGTCAGATCATTATGTGTTCACTGTTGGTCAGATCATTATATGTTCACAGTTGGTCAGATCATTATGTGTTCACTGTTGGTCAGATCATTATGTGTTCACAGTTGGTGAGATCATTATGGGTTCACAGTTGGTCAGATCATTATGTGTTCACTGTTGGTCAGATCGTTATGTGTTCACTGTTGGTCAGATCAAAATGTGTTCACTGTGGGCCAGGTCAGTATGTGTTCACAGTTGGTCAGATGAGTATGTGTACACTGTGGATCAGATCATTGTGTTCACTGTGGGCCAGATCATTATGTGTTCACTGTTGGCCAGATCATTATGTGTTCACTGTTGGTCTGATGATTATGTGTTCACAGTGGATGAGATCGTTATGTGTACACTGTTGGTCAGATCATTATGTGTTCATGTTGGTCAGATCATTATGTGTTCACTGTTGGTCAGATCGTTATGTGTTCACTGTTGGTCAGATCAAAATGTGTTCACTGTGGGCCAGGTCAGTATGTGTTCACAGTTGGTCAGATGAGTATGTGTACACTGTGGATCAGATCATTGTGTTCACTGTGGGCCAGATCATTATGTGTTCACTGTTGGCCAGATCATTATGTGTTCACTGTTGGTCTGATGATTATGTGTTCACAGTGGATGAGATCGTTATGTGTACACTGTTGGTCAGATCATTATGTGTTCATGTTGGTAAGATCATTATGTGTTCACTGTTGGTGAGATCATTATGTGTTCACTGTTGGTAAGATCATTATGTGTTCACAGTTGGTCAGATCATTATGTGTTCACTGTTGGTAAGATCGTTATGTGTTCACTGTTGGTCAGATCATTATGTGTTCATTGTGGATCAGATCATTATGTGCACACTGTTGGTCAGATCATTATGTGTTCACTGTTGGTAAGATCATTATGTGTTCACTTTTGGTCAGATCATTATGTGTTCACTGTGGATCAGATCATTATGTGTTCACTGTGGATCAGATCATTATGTGTTCACTGTTGGCCAGATCATTATGTGTTCACTGTTGGCCAGATCATTATGTGTTCACTGTTGGTAAGATCATTATGTGTTCACTGTGGATCAGATCATTATGTGTTCACTGTTGATCAGATCATTATGTGTACACTGTTGGTCAGATCATTATGTGTTCACTGTTGGTAAGATCGGTATGTGTTCACTGTGGGTCAGATCATTATGTGTTCACTGTTGGTAAGATCAGTATGTGTTCACTGTTGATCAGATCATTATGTGCCCACTGTGGGCCAGATCAGTATGTATAAACTGTTGATCAGATCATTATGTATAAACTGTTGGTCAGATCATTATGTGTTCACTGTGGATCAGATCATTATGTGTTCACTGTTGGTCAGATCATTGTGTGCCCACTGTGGTCCAGATCATTATGTGTTCACTGTGGATGAGATCATTATGTATAAACTGTTGATCAGATCATTATGTGTTCACTGTGGATCAGATCATTATGTGTACGCTGTTGGTCAGATCATTTTGTGTTCATGTTGGTAAGATCATTATGTATAAACGTTTGATCAGATCATTATGTGTTCACTGTGGATCAGATCATTATGTGCAAACTGTTGATCAGATCAGTATGTGTTCACTGTTGGTCAGATTATTATGTGTTTACACCATTTCTGATCTACAAGTGTATAACCTATCCATTCCTGTATTAGCCACCCTCATTCCTTCATCTGCAGGGCGTATGCAGTGTGTTTGACATCATTGTTGTGTGCCGCGTCAATCCTTTCAAGTGGTTGCCCGATATGAAATGTGTGTTTGTCACACATTGTGCCAAGAGCAAGGTGAGACAACGAAGTTTTTTGATGAATCAAAACTAATTTACTTAGTTATCATGTATTTGAATCAATCATTTTGGAAACGCACGGGTTCTTTACAATCTTGACATTTTCAGTTTCAGTTTAACCAAAACCGGCTCCAAAATGTAATTAAACATAGATCAAGCTACAGATATAAAACCATTATATTATGAAACAAAATACGCAAACTCATGCTTGTTTAAATATCACTGCAGAATTCATTACACATATGGAAAGAATTAGGCAACACCTGTATTTTGTTAGATTGAGCACCTTGTATAAACTGGTGCATAAAGTGTGTGAAAGGTTTCCATAGCATATGAATTTGGTTTTGAAAAGACAGGGCTGAGGAGACACATAACCAATATTACCACGGCATAATCCGGTGTATTTGAAGATTGCATAGACTTGGTACATGACGTCACCGCATGCAAACACATTACGAATTTCAGTTTTCTTGCGCAGACTGAACACTCCTTGTTAACGGAACTGAAGAATAACGTCTTGCAAGTCCAAATACTGATATTCCATCAGCATCTTGTGTAACCTCCCTGCAACATTCAAGACGCCTTCTCATTCCTTGGATCAATATCCGGATTTGATTCTAAGGAATCATGTTCGACCTTTCGTTCAAAGTAGCAGTCAGTTCATTGAGAGTCTTGACCTGTGGGTCTCTGTGTTGAACATGACATCCTAAAATGTCCTGCTGGAGCTCAATAGGATTGGGATCGGGACTCATGGCTGGCTATGGGATGGTCTCAACAGCATTCTGTTGCAATAACTGGGTGACAGCACGTGCCCTGTGAGGCCTGGCAGTGCCATCCATAAAGATACGCCTTGTGGCTTGAGAATGGTTATCAAACTGTGAGACAACAGTCATCTCAAGGATCTCCTGTTGCTGCCGAGTCCAATTAAGATTACCACGAATGGTATTGAGGTCCATGCACCCCCACACCATGATTGAACAGAAAGGGAACCGTCTCCTGGATATTGTGGGGAACCATAGCTGTGTTCCTTTGTCCCCAGACACGTGTACGGCCATCCACCAAATACATATGCAAAATCAACCATCAGAAAAGTGGACCTGCCTTGTGGGCTGGACAGGTTTGTACGCTTCATGCGTCTTCTGGCCATGTATGCTGCTGCTTTCAGCCGATCTCTGACGGTCCTGCAGGAAATGACTCTCCGTGGTAACCAATGTTGCCTAAACGATATATGCTTGAGTTCCTTGCACGGTGCCTAACAAGTCTCAACAATGATATGTCTTATCTTCTTGTTGTCTTTCGGGGCCTGCCAGGTCTTGGTAGATACCATTGGTAGCCCTGTGTTTGTGTTATGGAAGGATTGATGTCCAATCAGTCTTAGGGACATTACTGCATTTCTCGTACAAATAATTTGCAACCTTGTAGAATTTGACAATTTACGAAGTGCCATGACAATTATGATGCTAATATTCAATAATGATATTGTCGTAACTGGCGTTTGGGTGTTAGTAAACCCTACCACAGTTACCTATTAATTATGGTAGTTCCTCATTGTTGGGGGAGATGGTAGCTCTGGCACTCCACTCGCTTGGTCCGTTGCAGGATGCTAAGTCCAGGAGTGAGGGTCGGACGACCGTGACTCCCAACTAGCCACATAACATTCATGTACAGGCACACATACATTCATAGATAAACGCAACACCAAGTTTTATACTCACATAGTTTTTACTCTGTCTCAGTCCATCTCTCTAACTACAACTTCATCAACAGACAGGATAGGCTCGTACCACACAAGCAACTGAGTGACGTGGACTGGCTCCAGTCACTTAAAAGCGCGCACTACTCGCTCAGTGCCAAACCTATCTTTTTATATGGTTCGAGCCTGGCCTGATCCTGATCACCTGTTTCAACCCATCGTTTTGATTCGTTAATCCTATATCCATCCCCGTTCTCATGAATATTATGATTGGAAAATTATCGGTAAATACAGTTCGGTAACCCCCACCCCGACCCCACCCCCAATATTTATTGATCTATGATTGGGTTCTGTCTCAAGCGACGTATATATTTCTAATTTACGACTAAACGCCATTCTCTTAGACTTTGTCTCCTCCCAGCGTCTAGACGTTATCCATCATGAACCAAACTGCAAATCTATACACGGAGTCTGATGTAATTCTCTTACTGATTTATGGATACATTTTTTACCTTATAACAATATTCAATCAATGAAAAGCGACAAAGTCTAACATTCTGTCAATAAAAGCTGGGGCATGACATTTCACGTGCACAAAAACATCACAGCAAGATAAAAATGTTAATAAATCATTAAATCATATTTTTTTCTTAATTTGCAGAATAGCTCCATGAACTAGGCGTTGCTTAAATAATTTCCATATGTATATATGAACCGTTTTACATGTTCATTGTATATTACACTGTTACGTATGGGTTTTTTTACAACAGGACATTGCTCCATGGAGAAAAAGTCTCATCAAGCGTCACCTCGTCCTAATCCTGACCGGCGTGTCACTCCTCATCACTCGAATAAGGATCATGGGTTCAACAACACCCATATTCTCAGAGAATGAAAATCCACATTCATTTGTCAATGACACAATATCAAAAGTGAGACGGACAATGGTTTGACCAATGTTTTAGGATGTTCATAGACGGTTGGGGGGGGTTTGGGTTGGGGTTGGGGAATCACTTGCGTAAATACACTTATTTCAGTGATCTGGAATGTTAGCATTTCGTAATGATTTCCATCCTCAAAGTCACATTCTGTACATAATGCCACCAGTCACGCTCCATCACTAGCAAGCTGTTATATGGATTTGGGCACGGTGTAGCGGAAAGTCACGTCTGGCGGCAAAACTCACCTGACTGGGAGTTAGACGTCAATATATCTGGTCAGTCATGGAAACAGGCCTTTGTTTGATAATTGGCGAGATATAGGTGGAATATTGCTGACTCAAACATCACCAATTGTGCTAGGTATTCAATGTACTTATCCACAACAATATATGATGTTATGGTTTTATAACTTTAATTCCGTTCTTTCTCCAAAATATGTATTTATTTATAAAATGGAAAGTACAGCATTACGTCACTTCACTTTTAATAATAAATATGTAGCGCTAGTTCCACATCATTGAGGAACATGCTCAAAGCGATTATAGCATATATACATATACAGAGCGTCGGAAGCGGTATGGTTTTAGTCCGGATATAAACACATATATCGAAGGTGCAGTCATGAGGTTAAATGGGAGAGAGTTCCACAATGAAGGAGCAGCAGCAGGAGAGAAGGATCGAGCACCGAAAGATTGCAGTTTATATTCTGGTACAGTCAAAGAGCAGTTGGTCAGCTGATCGGGGAGATTTCTAGAGGCCTTGTAGCGGTGAAACATCTAATCAAGATAGGCAGGGGCAGTGTTGTGAAGAGACTGGTAGACTAAAGAAAGAATGGTAGAGTCAATCCTCTCGCGGATTCCCAGCCAATGCAGTGACGTTTGGGTGGGAGAGATATCAGAATGAAGCCCAGACCTGGTTCTTATACGAGTAGCTCTGTCCTGTATCCTGCAGTCTGTTCGGCCTATCAGATCTCAAGACAAAGGTCTTCTCAGTGTCCTCCCAAAATACAATTTGCAAACTTTTGGCGGCAGATCTTTCAGCGTTCACTCAGCTTCCCTCTGGAACTCACTACCTCTCCATGTCAAGTCATCTCCTTCCATCTCCATCTTTAAATCAAGACTCAAAACATTCTTGTTCAACCACTTCTTCCTGTATATAGTGTACATATTTACTGTTGCGAAAAGAGCATGCCCTTGAGCTGTGGAGTTACTACTGCGCTCTACAAATGTCCATATTATTATTATTATTATTATGTTTCATAATACACAAGACAACAACCACCTTTATACAATGCCAAGTTACGTCAGTGCTTTCTGACATGAGCATTAGTCAAAGAACAATGGCTTGTGACCATATTTGGTAAATAGTATATAGAGCTCAGTAACACGCCAATTTGATAAATTGGGATATAGACAAGTACTGGGGTTCCATCTTCAACTTCTACAGGTATTAAGGATATTTATACTTACTTAATATGTAATGTAAATACACGAATAGATACTATTACATATGTGAAAAGAAACAAATTTAGTCGTTATACGATTTCTTTTAATTCTAAACCAGTTTATACAATTACATGATGCCAATCATTTCAGATTTTGAATTACAACTACCTTTATGCAATGAACTCTTGGCTGCTGTTGAATCCCTGGTGGCTGTGTTATGATTGGTCGATGGGTTGTGTACCTGTCATCACCTCATTGGATGATCTCAGAATACTGGCAGTGATAGCTCTCTGGGCTGGGTTTGGCGCCTTGTTGCATTGCTGTTTCCATGGAGAACTCACACAGGATCGAAGGTACGTTGTATAATTTAGTACTGATATCATGAAAATTCCTTGTTGGATAGGACATGCTGCCAGTGACCAGAGCTAGACGACTGATGACGCGGTCCTCTCAGGCTGGTACTGGGTTTGTCTAAGTGTCGTGGATAGCTGAAATTTGGTGGGAAGTTGTTTTGTTTGGGGGTTTTTTCGTTTCTTTTTGTTTGTGTTTTTTCGTTTTGTTAGTTTGTTTCGTGGTTTTTGTGGAGTTATTTTTGTGTGTGCTTTGTTTTTATTTGTTTTGCTTTCGGTTTTATTTTTCGGTTGTTTTTTTAGTTTTTGTATTTCGTGTGCGTGCGTGTGTGTGTTTGTGTGTTTGTTAAAGCTGATTTCAAGAGCATCACGATGACCATACCTCCGTCTATTAGAGACTTGCTTCTATTAGAGGTCGGTACTCGCATCACAAATACAGTACTCTCATCTCCATCATATGGCATTACATTTCACAGGTCTTTGTCATGTCAGACCATGTCTGGAAATAGAGTACTAGTGACGGACGGAGGAAACACGGTCCTATATAGTGCCACAGCCCGGCCAGCGTCTATAGGTTCGCATGGTCTCGCACAGTGATTACTATGTACGCGCAGCGCTCAGCTCTCAGCACTCGCGGTACTATTACTGAACAGCCCTCTTCTAGGAATTCGGCCCTTAGTTAAATTCCAGGAAAAGCTAAACTAAACTAAAATGGGACAGATTTTCCAATTCTGCAATTCGAAATTATGTAGTGAACTAGTACAAGTGTGCTCTATTACGTCTAAAATTGTTTTGAACTGAAAGTGTATCAGTTTATCAACATTTATTAATAGGTCAAAACACAAAATGTGTTTAGGTTGGAGATTTATAGAACACTCGATATCCGCAATTACTATGAAGTAAAGCGAGACAATTATTTCAGATTACCCATCACACAGTCATAACTCCCAGGATGTTTTTGGATCATAATGCATACACTGGAGATAGTCTTCTCATGGAATGGCTAACTAAACGACCCGTGAAGGTCAGGGTTAGAATTGATCTTCAGTAACCCACGTTTGTCGTAAGAGGCGACTAATGGGATCGGGTTTTCAGGCTCGCCGACTGGGTTGACACATGTCATCGTATCCCAGTTGCGTAGATCGATGTTCATGCTGTTGATCCCTTGATTATCTGGTCCAGATCCGATTATTTACAGACCGGCACCACATAGCTGGAATATTGCTGAATGCAGCGTACCACTACTAAACCTGGGTTGTTAAGACAGGTTTGTTTATACCAAAACTACTAAGTCGATGCTCTATCTAACAACCAGCTCATTGACGAACTGTGGTTTCAAAGCAAATGCTACGATAGGCATGTAACTGGCGAAAAAGACTCTTCCAAATACCATCTGTAGTCCACGGGGTGATCTAATCTTCATAACACTGCTAGATAGTTATTTCTATCGTTTTTCATCAGGAAATGACATCTTTCATGTGGAGTCACTGGTAATCTTCCCTTTCATAATCTATTTATAATACCATTGACGGCAAGAATCTCTTCTCTGTTCATTTCTAAGATGTCCTGTCGAATCTTCTCAACTTCTTCAAACATTAACATAAACCGTAAAACCTCGTAATGTTTCAACACGTACCTAGCCATAATAATTCCAGAAAACGAGCTCCTTCTCCTGTCGTGGTTGGGATCTCAATGAGATTAGTATTTGAGCAAACCTCTATTTATACATCGACCAGACAAAACTCGAGACATAGACAACCAATGTAAATATACTCTAATATTGATTTATTACCAATTATAGAAAGAGTTTCACAAATGAAAATATACAGTACTTTACAATGAACATCACCCTCTTAGTTACAAATGTAAATCCACATGACTGCCCCAGCGGGTCACATCTTTCTGAACTACTCCCACCAGGGCCAAATACGGACAGTCTCAAGACCATTTTTAATGTTCGACCCAAGGATCATCATCTACTTCCCAGTTCTTAAGAACGAGAACACACTGAAAACACTTGCAAGCGTCCCTCCTGTAATGTTTGTTTTTATTCAAGTCAAAGGCCACTGGCCCAAATGACATACATTTGCAATATATACAATAGATATACATTTGTAATATATACAGGATATATACAAAATAGTTTAAATTACAAGAATAGAAGCGTACAATATGAGAGAGTATAGCAGTAGATTAAACAAATAGCATGTAGATTATTGGTGAAGATAAGGATATAATTTAAAGGCAATGAATACATATTTACTTAAATTTAACAGTGTTTTAGGACATTTGGTGTTCATTAGATTAGCAAATGTTGTAACTGAGGGATGGTTGTGATACATCGAGTGGATATAGGAGTTTCGGAGTTGGGTGAAGGCTTTGCAGATTAATAAAAAATGATACTCGTTTTCAATTTGATGGATTCCATATCGGCTGCAGTGAGAGCATATTCTTAATTCTTCATCCATTCCGATTCTTCGGCCTAATTCAATCATTAGGTTGTGACATCCGCATCTAAATCTTGATAAAGCTTGTCTGTATATCCGTACATTTATGTGTGTTAAATATATTTCGACATTTAAGACAGATTTATAAGTTGAATAAGAAGACAATTTAGAGTTGTTACTGATATCGCTTTGCCATTCTTGAATGTCTACATCACTGATTCGTTGTTTTATTTCTGATAAGAAGCTTGATTTATCTCCAAAGTCCTGCATTATCCATGTGTAACCGAATCCATATTTGAATAAGATTTCTCTGACATATGTCACCCATGATGAACGATGCACCTTGTCTAGTCCATATAGCATGATATAAGTCTGCTTTGGAAGTCGGCTATTGTCCATTATAATTAGCTTAGTCCAAAATGTTAGTACCTTGATAACTTGTGTGACAAAGACTGTCTTTCTTCCACAATCACCGAGAACAGCGACATTGCATGCATTTTGAGGGACATAGATCATTTTCTTGAAGTATTTAAGTTGAACTCTCTCAATATGTTTCACTCGTTGAAGTCCCCAGATTTCAGCACCATAGGTGAGGATAGGAAGTATCATCCTTTCAAAAAGAGTTACAGCAACACCTAAAGGCAATCCACCACACTTGTAATGGAGCTTGTATATGAGATGACACGCTTTCTCAGCTTGCTGTGCTAATGTTGTTGTTGCACGAGTCCATACTCCTCGGGGCGTGAATACGAGTCCCAGATACTTGTAGAAGGACACGACCTGGATCCGTGTGCCTTTGTAGAACCATTTCTCATAGTTCCGAAGGTATCCCCCATTTCTAAACACAACGATCTGGGATTTATCTAGATTGAGCGAAAGTCCCCATTTATCACAAAAGGTACTGAGCACATCAATCTGCTGCTGGAGCCTCCCCGCCGTATCTGTGGTATTCGCTACGTCGTCTGCATACAAGAGAGAACAAACATTTGGGTTATCGTCGCAGATGTGTATGCCTCTACATGCTGATGTTATCATCTCCGTTGTCAGTTCATTTTATGAATAAGCTGAAGAGAAGCGGGCTTAGCATACAACCTTGTCTAGTTCCTTGAAAACACTGGAAGAATTCCGTCAGACCACTGGAGGTTTTTACACAGGATTTTAGTTTGGAATACATATTCCGTAGGACTGTCAGAATATTACCATGTATGTTATAGGTGATAAGTCGATACCAAAGATGAGAATGGTTTACGTTATCGAAAGCCTTCGAGAAGTCTATGAAGAAACAGTATAATCGTCCACCAGACTTGGAGAGGTATTTCCTGATCATTCCATACACAGTGAACATGTTATCTACCGTTGCGTATCCCTTCCTGAATCCAGCCTGGTTTTCATATATGATATCATTATCAGATGTCCATTGCTGTAATCTTTCGTTCAATATTTTTGTGAAGACCTTCCCAATTATTGATAGAAGTGAGATCCCTCTGTAGTTGTTTGCGTCGTTCAAAGATCCTTTCTTGTGGATAGGACATATAATTGCTTTACACCAGTCATCAGGAAAGTTTCCAGTTTCAAGAATCTTGTTGAAGAGGCGTAAAAGTACAGGCGCTATAACATCAGCAGAATGAAGAAGTAATTCGGAGGGAATACCATCACAACCAGGCGACTTGTTCCTCTTCAGTTCTCTAATTGTTCTTGTTACCTCAGCTAGAGTTATATGTGCATTTAGAACATCCGGTGTGTTGTCCTCGCACTGTAAACACTGGATATCATGCTGAGATAAGAAATGGCTTACTGTATCTTCCATTGTTGTTTCCGTTTGTTCACTGTTTAATAAAGTCTGAAAATGCTTGCTCCACACTCTTGTCCACTGATACTATTATGAGAAGTTGTCGATGTTAGTTTCTTTAATTCCTTCCATAAGTCATCAGTATTTTGTCTAGTTGCGATGAGCTTGTCAGATATACACTTTTCAAAATCTTCTTTCTTCTTTTTACAAATATCCTTGAAAAATGTTTTAAGTCGTTTATAGTTAAGAATATCTTGTTGGACATTAGTTACCCTGAGTCTATCCAGAGCACAATATTTATCTCGTTTTGCTGTTTCACAGTCAGTATCCCACCATGGAGGTTGTGTCTTCAGCTGTTGATCACGTGACTTCTGTCGTCTGCTCATGCATCCAGCAGCTCTATTGTAGAAGTTATTAAATAAGTGCACTGCCTCATCTATGTCATTATCAACTTGATGGATTATCTCCTCAATATATTCTCTTGCAGTTTCGTCTCTGATGAGTTCCTGAAATGTGTCACTATACCTAGAGTCCCACTTGTATTTGCTGTAGGGTGTCGTGTTTGTCGCACAATCTTCATTCTCCGTGCTGGTATATTTTACTACAAGTTCAGCCATCACTGGGAAATGATCTGAATCATCCAGAGTACCAATACTGAAATTATCAATCACTGGGAACAAAGATGAACTTACAATCAAATAATCTACAACACTTTGCCCATTGCGTGAAACACTTGTAAAATCACCAAGGGCGTCACCCTGAAATCTCCCATTAACAATGTGTAGAGAATGTGAGATACAGGTGTTTAAAAGACGTCGACCAAAATTATTGACTTCTGAGTCTCTGTTGTGTCTCTTGATATGTAAATCATCAGTGTCATACCACTCACCACCAGGAAGATAGTCAGCATTGTCATCAATAATATAGTCATCACTGGTACCTGTTCTAGAATTAAAGTCTCCTGTAAGAATAATATCAGCATCATAACAGGATTGGATATCATGAAGACATTCGTCTAATGAGTCTAAACTATCACTGTCTTTTCCAACATAGTACTGTGAGTATTCTGGTGACACATACAACACTCCCATCACTACATCTCTGACATAGCCAAAGATTTTCTTGTCAAACAGTAAGTAGACAGCATCTGGAATGTGTGAGAGTATTCTTGTACAGCACAAACGTTTGTCAATAAACACACCAACTCCTCCATGCTTCTGTCTGTCTCTACATGTAGCAAACAGTTGATGTGTCTCTGAAAGGAAAGTACTATAGTCCTGTGCAGAGTATAACCAGGTTTCACACAATCCTACCACAGAATGTTGTGATAGAATCTGTTCCAAATGTCTATCCTGTAAATGGCGTTTAAGAGATTGGCAGTTCCATGTGAAGATAGAGAATATATCTGTTGAAGGTGAAGCGTCAGTAAAAGTTTCAGTCCCTGAGTAGTCTGTTGGTAACTGGGCCTGGCCTAACCCCTATTTACTCTGAGTCAGTGTACTGGTATTGTGGTCCAAGTCAAAGGACTTACCATCAATGACCAGCTTGTCCCTCCTGGTTACATACATAAATCCTGCCTGGGCCATTTGACTAGGACCCATCTGCACAAGCCAGTCCTTACACGAATCAAGTCCTTTCTCGAACGAAGTCCAGTCAGACTTAACAGGTATTATACACCAATCGGCAGCAACAGTCTCGTTGAGGGGAAATATCCACACACATCCATGATATCCTAGGGGGGTAGAGCAATGGAAATACGCCTGCACAGTTTAGTTTCTAAACCAAGAATGGTTTTACTCCCAGTGTGCGAAATAGTTTTACAAATTAGTTTGCCAGTCGGGCTAGCTACGCCTGAAAGTTACTAACCCACCAAATAATTCACTAGCCCAAAATTTGAATGTAGAAACTAAGCAAAAAAATGCAAAAAGTTAACATATTATCTTGCATGATTTAAAAAAAATGACCCCATGAAAGTTCACTTGCCAGCCGGGCTAGCGGGCCCTACTGGGTTTTTTACTAGCCACGCGCTAGCGTGCTAGTGGCTATTGCGCACACAGTTTACACCCAGTGACTGCAGTCACTAGGGTTACAGAAGGAACACATTAAAGATCCTATCTGGTTCCGGTGATCTTAATGTAACATATACGGCACCATATCCTTCACTTACGATACAAAGTCTAGCATGACAGCACAGTCGATCAGTTTCTTCTACTGGTTTAGAGACAACAGAAAACCCTTTGCAATAGGTACGACTTTTCCCATCTGTAGATTCATTTCCCAATGCCTGAGACCCACACCATGCTCACCCAATGTGGCATATATTTTAGCCCCCAAATGTGCATAAGAACCCGAGTGATCAGACTTCATGACATCTTCTCTTTGCTGAAACACACTGGGGAGTTCCAAGCAGTGTTTCAGACTCAACACAATGCCTGGCTCAGTAGGATAGGACTTTCCACTCGGGTACACTTTATATTTTCTGATGTGAATGTTCAGTACGTCATTCTTACAAACACATCACATCCCAAGTCCAGATGATTTTTGTCAGTAGGATCGTGAGTATCGAGACCCAGAAATGTCACTGCTTCTGTCTCTCCACATTCCTCCAGAAGAGGGAGTAAGCCTGGGGGCCCCCGTCTCGGTAAGGTGGGCAGCAGTTCTCTGAAACAGTAAAAGGAGGTTTTGGGGTTTTTCGATATTCTCAGCTTTCATGTGACAATTAAGGACTTCAAACTGTACCAAGTTATCGACCACCACGTGTTTTGCAAGTTGTCAGACAGCGATTATCAGAATTGTAAATACGTTTCGAGAAAACTGAACAGGTTTTGCGGTGACTGAATTGAAGAAAGACAGTTCATGATAGAAAGGTTATCACGTTTCTGTGTTTTGCAATGGCAAATATCTTATATTTGGAAACTTACTATGTGTTTAGCTCGCCCAGTCTCGTCAAAACAATGTTTCATTCCTTATGAAAGTAAGGTAACATTCTCAAAACACACTCTCTTGCTAACCTCCAGTTGTCTGTATTCAATCTCGAGTTCTTTATCTACTTACAGGATCCTGATAACGTCCCTGGCAGTGTTGGGAGTTCCCTTCCTGCCAGCCAGCAACCTGTTTTTCCGTGTGGGCTTTGTGATCGCTGAGAGGATTCTGTACCTGTCCTGTGCTGGCTTCTGTATGTTGGTGGTGCTCGGGGCCAGAGAAATCTGCCTTCGTCTACATAATAACAATAAAAAGGTGAACTCATTAGAAACTCATATTGCTTGTGTGAGGTAATTTTAGTACAGTTCTATTGTTAAGACTGGTCGGTTTAGCAAATCGGTTCCAAAAATATAGTCTGTAGTGCTTTGAGCCCAGATTCGAATTATTCCCTTGACTAAGCATAATGTAAGCGGGTGGTATCTCTCAAGTAGTTAGGTTTGAACTCACACTGTGTGCTCTGTAAATGATATATTAATGTAAAATGAACATACTTATGCCGTGATTTCCTGTGACCTGGTAGAGTCTGTATACAAAGTTTCGATATGTTGGCCCCCATTTGACTTAATTCCAACAGTGTCACAGTTAAGTATGTTGTCTGTCAAAAGTATTTCTATTTGAAAACATGTTATAATCTAAATACAAACCGTTCTTTATGAATGATTAGTATGTCTCGTAGTATGTGTTGATCAATATTGTATATGGGCCGATAATCTAAATACGAACAGTTCCTTATCAATTGATTGATCTACCACGGAGTATGTCTTGATCTGAAAGTTTTGACATGTGTCTTTAAACTCAACAAAATAACGTGAAATATATAATGTCCAGGTTGTTGTATTTAGTTTTACCTTCTCATATCTGGTAGTTTATATTATACTTTGTAACAGTACATATCATGCAGTTATAATATACTTTGCTTCAGTATTGAGCTATACCTTCTCATGCTGTCCTGCTGTGTGTGTTACAGAACATATCATGCAGTTATAATATACTTGCTTCTGTATTGAGCTATACCTTCTCATGTTGTCCTGCTGTGTGTGTTACAGAACATATCATGCAGTTTATAATATACTTGCTTCTGTATTGAGCTATATATTCTCATGTTGTCCTGCTGTGTGTGTTACAGAACATATCATGCAGTTGATAATATACTTGCTTCTGTATTGAGCTATACCTTCTCATGTTGTCCTGCTGTGTGTGTTACAGAACATATCATGCAGTTAAAATATACTTGCTTCTGTCTTGAGCTATACCTTCTCATGTTGTCCTGCTGTTTGTGTTACAGAACATATCATGTAGTTTATATTATACTTTTTTACAGTACATATCATGCAGTTTATAATATACTTGCTTCTGTATTGAGCTATACCTTCTCATGTTGTCCTGCTGTTTGTGTTACAGAACATAGCATGCAGTTTATAATATACTTGCTTCTGTATTGAGCTATACCTTCTCATGTTGTCCTGCTGTGTGTGTTACAGAACATATCATGCAGTTTATAATATACTTGCTTCTGTATTGAGCTATACCTTCTCATGTTGTCCTGCTGTTTGTGTTACAGAACATATCATGTAGTTTATATTATACTTTGTAACAGTACATATCATGCAGTTTATAATATACTTTGCTTCTGTATTGAGCTATACCTTCTCATGTTGTCCTGCTGTGTGTGTTACAGAACATATCATGCAGTTTATAATATACTTGCTTCTGTATTGAGCTATACCTTCTCATGTTGTCCTGCTGTGTGTGTTACAGAACATATCATGTAGTTTATATTATACTTTGTAACAGTACATATCATGCAGTTTATAGTATACTTTGCTTCTGTATTGCGCTATACCTTCTCATGTTATCCTGCTGTTTGTGTTACAGTACATGTCAGCGGGATTAACGCTCCTTACAGTGATATTTCTGATACGTTCATCTCAAGTGAGTCTACTCTCACTCTCAATACAAGTGAGTGACTGCGTGAGTGCGTACGTGCGTGGGTCAGCGAGTTTTACGAATATTCTGAATATATCACGGACGGTGACTTCACATATTGTACCCATGTGGGAATGGAACACCTGTAACCAGTGAGCAACACCACGACTAAATACAGCAAGGATGTCTGGTTACTAGATACACCATGACGCTAAGTTACTTACTATAGTCTGTTCAACCTAGTCATGCCATAACATTGTTGGTCGTGCTGCATGTGAATATTGACAGATCTTTGTAATGGAAAACTTGGGAATTGGGGTGAAAAAACATTTTAATGAACATTTTGAAAATTCTGTTTTGCTTAGTTCGCATGTTCACAGGATAGATGTTGGATGTCAGTGGAAGAAATGTGTGTTCTTGAATGAAACATTCTGCCTCAAAGAAAGTCCAAGTTTTCTTTGCTTTTTTTCAGAGAAGCAAGGAATTTACTGAGGAATTAACCTTGTATACATCGGCTGTCAAAGTCTGTCCCCTGAATGCCAAGGTATGCCCTCTAATATTGAGTAGTCATTGACTTCCACATACGAAACTTCTGGCAAAAGGGAAATAACCCTTTTTGTTAGGCAGTTATGTCCCTTGGAAGAATGACGTCTCTCCTCACACTACCTGTGTTACCTGTCAGTCAGGTCAAACATTAACCATCCCTTTTAACAGGTTCTTCTTAGAGAACCCTCACGGTACACTCACGATCGTTGGTCTGATCGTCGTGGCAACCTTTTGTGATATGACACCATGACCCCCAATCATTACTTTCATGGCATCCTGTTCAATGTTGAAAAAAATGAAAATTGAAATGTAAGTAAGTTAATAATAAACGTCACATCGGCAACATTTCAGCCGTACCGTGACGATAACAATCTATGCATTAAACCTAAATAAATCTATGCATAAAAACCTGTGGTCAAAGAACAGAACAAATACCTGAGTATGATAGATGTGGGTTGAACCAGAATGGTATAAAAAGTATCCCGGCAGAAAACAATGCCATATAAAAATAGGCTACAGATCGCCAGCAATTGAAGGTAGATTACCATACCAGGGACCATGGGGACTAATAGTACTTTTGCTCCCTGCATGGACTTTAGCTGGATTTACACCATCCCTTCAGATGCTGGCGATAATTGAGAAATTTAGCCGAACATTAATAGAACGGTTTACCCCCGGTTTCCCCACATTTCTTAAAGGGAATACCTCATTGTGCCCGCTGCTTTTGTGTAGGTTACTAGTGCAGTCAACCATTGCAAACAACAGAGGCAGACAATAGAGGGATTAGTTACATTCTGTTCTAAAAAAGACATAAACAATTCATCATGGTGCTAAGTATAATAGAAACTGTACTATTAAAACATAAATGTTTTAAGAGCTATGAGAAGAGAATATTCTGTCGCCAATATCCTGCCTGTTCATTATAACTAACTGAATGGTCGTCCTAACGTCCTAACTATACATTTTACAGGTTCACTACAATATTGGAAAAATGCAGCAGGACATCAACACTGACATTGCCACCAGTGAATACAGACTGGCTCTGATGTATGTATGTGGAGGATTAAACACGTCCAAGGCAACATGTTAGATCTACTCGTTCAAGGGATAGAGAGACGGAATCTATTGGTTATGCTGTAACCGAAATATAAATCTAAAACAACGTTATCAACAATTTTACGTTTTAAGCAAACTTTCCTTCAGGCTTATGAAACGGACGTAAAATGCCTATAAATGAGAATCATAGATTCTGAAGCTTTCTACTTTAAAAACATATCTGTGGTATTTGTGACCCACACGCTAAGCAGATACCAAGGTGGCATCTTCAGTATGATACATTAAGCGGTGTTGTGTGCATGAGGTCGGCGGCATTTCTGCTCTGAGTAAAATGTGAGCTATATGTTATATTGTCAGGTTGAACCCGAGGTATGTCTCTCCGTTGATCAACCTAGCAATCATACTCAGGAAGAGGGGAGACGCACTGGAGGCCGAGAAACTTCTGGAGACAGCTGTTAGTGTCAGGTACTGTACCACTGACTGACTGAGTTTGGTTTTACGCCGCTTTTAGCAATATTCCAGCAACATCACGGCGGGGGACACCAGAAATCGGCTTCACACATTGTACCCATGTGGGGATTCGAACCCGGGACTTCGGCGTGACGAGCAAACGCTTTAACCATTAGGATACCCCACCGCCCCGGTACTGTACCAAACTGAGTTCATTTAAGGATTGAAGTTGTATCCGCCGAATGTCATCAGCTTATGAAGACAGTGCATCACGTGAGAAAGTTCCACCACCTGTAGATCTTCTCCATGAAGACAAAACATTCAGGAGGCAAATTTGTGCTATTTATTTCATAAATATCTGGACTTGTCATTGTTATTTTTAAGTATATGCTAGTTTTATTTTTTATTACTGCGATATACTAGCTGGTTTTACAGTCCTTCGTCGACAGCTTTTAAAATGTGCGCAATTGTCATGAATTTATAACTGTCTTAAGTCACGATATGGCTGAAATACTGCCGCTGTGACTATAAACTTTAACTCACTCACTCTCACACACACGCAACCATACATACATACATACATACACACACACACACACACACACACACACACACACACACACACACACACACACACACACACACACACACACACACACACACACACACACACACACACACACACACACACACACACATACATACATACATACATACATACATACATACATACATACATACATAGACTGTACCAGACAATGTATCCTACAGGAATGGCAGCGTTGATGCTTGGATGAACCTGGGTGTTGTACAGTTGGAACTGAAGAAGAACGACTCGGCTGTTGCCAGCCTCACTGAATCGGTCAGACTCGACAACATGTGCACAGAGTGCTACTTCAACCTAGGAAATATGGTAGGTCTGCAGGCAGCGTGAACCACACCACGTATCCTACCACACCGCCAACATTCATCCCCACCAATCATTTACCTATTTCACTCCCCCCCCCCCCCATGCTGTCTCTCTTACTCTCCGTACCTCACTCTCCCCTCTGTCTCGCTTCCTCTCTCTAATTCACCCTCCCCACTGTCACCCTTCCTCACTCTAATTCACTCTCCACACTGTCTCCCTTCCTCTCTCTAATTCCCTCGCCCCACTGTCTCCCTTCCTCTCTCTAATTCACTCTCCCCTGTGTCTCCCTTACTCTCTCTAATTCACTCTTCCCTGTGTCTCCCTTCCTCTCTCTAATTCACTCTCCCCACTGTCTCTCTTCCTCTCTCTAATTCACTGTTCCCTCTGTCTCCCGTCCTCTCTCTAATTCACTGTTCCCTCAGTCTCTCTTCCTCTCTCTAATTCACTGTTCCCTCTGTGTCTCTTCCTCTCTCTAATTCACTCTCCCCACTGTCTCCCTTCCTCTCTCATTTTCACTCTCCCCTGTGTCTTCCTTCCTCTCTCTAATTCACTCTCCCCACTGTCTCCCTTCCTCTCTCTAATTCACTGTTCCCTCTGTCTCCCGTCCTCTCTCTAATTCACTCTCCCCTGTGTCTCCCTTCCTCTCTCTAATTCACTCTCCCCACTGTCTCTCTTCCTCTCTCTAATTCACTCTCCCAACTGTCTCTCTTCCTCTCTCTAATTCACTGTTCCCTCTGTCTCTCTTCCTCTCTCTAATTCACTGTTCCCTCTGTCTCTCTTCCTCTCTCTAATTCACTTTCCCCACTGTCTCCCTTCCTCTCACTAATTCACTCTCCCCACTGTCTCTCTTCCTCTCTCTAATTCACTCTCCCCACTGTCTCCCTTCCTCTCTCTAATTCACTGTTCCCTCTGTCTCTCTTCCTCTCTCTAATTCACTGTTCCCTCTGTCTCTCTTCCTCCCTCTAATTCACTGTTCCCTCTGTCTCTCTTCCTCTCTCTAATTCACTGGACCCTCTGTCTCCCTTCCTCTCTCTAATTCACTCTCCCCACTGTCTCCCTTCCTCTCACTAATTCACTGTTTCCTCTGTCTCTATTCCTCTCTGTAATTCACTGTTCCCTCTGTCTCCCTTCCTCTCTCTAATTCACTGTTCCCTCTGTCTCTCTTCCTCTCTCTAATTCACTGTTCCCTCTGTCTCTCTTCCCCTCTCTAATTCACTGTTCCCTCTGTGTCTCTTCCTCTCTCTAATTCACTCTCCCCACTGTCTCCCTTCCTCTCTCATTTTCACTCTCCCCTGTGTCTTCCTTCTCTCTCTAATTCACTCTCCCCACTGTCTCCTTCCTCTCTCTAATTCACTGTTCCCTCTGTCTCCCGTCCTCTCTCTAATTCACTCTCCCCTGTGTCTCCCTTCCTCTCTCTAATTCACTCTCCCCACTGTCTCTCTTCCTCTCTCTAATTCACTCTCCCAACTGTCTCTCTTCCTCTCTCTAATTCACTGTTCCCTCTGTCTCTCTTCCTCTCTCTAATTCACTGTTCCCTCTGTCTCTCTTCCTCTCTCTAATTCACTTTCCCCACTGTCTCCCTTCCTCTCACTAATTCACTCTCCCCACTGTCTCTCTTCCTCTCTCTAATTCACTCTCCCCACTGTCTCCCTTCCTCTCTCTAATTCACTGTTCCCTCTGTCTCTCTTCCTCTCTCTAATTCACTGTTCCCTCTGTCTCTCTTCCTCCCTCTAATTCACTGTTCCCTCTGTCTCTCTTCCTCTCTCTAATTCACTGGACCCTCTGTCTCCCTTCCTCTCTCTAATTCACTCTCCCCACTGTCTCCCTTCCTCTCACTAATTCACTGTTTCCTCTGTCTCTATTCCTCTCTGTAATTCACTGTTCCCTCTGTCTCCCTTCCTCTCTCTAATTCACTGTTCCCTCTGTCTCTCTTCCTCTCTCTAATTCACTGTTCCCTCTGTCTCTCTTCCCCTCTCTAATTCACTCTCCCCTCTGTCTCCCTTCCTCTCTTTAATTCCCGCTCCCCCCTGTCGCACTTCCTCTCACTAATTCACTGTTCCCGCTGTCTCTCTTCCTCTCGCTCTAATTCACTCTCAACTCTGTTTCTCTTCCTCCCTCTGTTTACTCTTTGCCTCCATCTCTATGTTTCTCTTCTCTCTCTCTCTCTCTCTCTCTCTCTCTCTCTCTCTCTCTCTCTCTCTCTCTCTCTGTCTCCCTCTCTCTGTCTCCCTCTCTGCCTCTCTCTCTCTCTTTCTCTCTCTTTCTCTCTGTCTTTCTCCCTCTCTCTCTCCCAATTTATTCCTCTCTCCTCCCCTTCTCTCTCACCCTCTTCATTGCATGTTTGACTTCTTCACTCATCTCGCTCCTTCCCACGGTTTATCTGGAAACCTAACGCTCGTCCACTCAGCTCCCCGTCGCCCCTGTATATCTGTAACGCGCATAAAGACTTTTTCTATGATTTCACATCTGATTTGAATTGTACGGCAACCAAGCATAGCATATTAACAATGTCTGGCTTACAGTACCGAGACTTCGGCCGTCCTACAGATGCCATCGCTGCTTGGCAGAGAGCAACACAGATTAGCCCGACATCGAAAGGGAGCTGGAGAAACTACCTTCTGCTGTTAGAGGACCTGGGTAAGAAACCAGAGTCACAGAGGGTCTTGTCTCACTTTGAAGACTTATGTAGTAGTATAGAGTATAGTTATATCAGGGCCTCTTGTGGGTTCAAAGACATGTACTAAACACAATTTGGTTAAATCACCAAACAGGGTATCCTGATGAGTCTATGCTGACCACAATTCTGATATGTGGGATATTCGGTACCCAGATTGAATGATCCTGAAGGATCTATGGGACGTAAATGTATGCAGATAATTTCGAGGGATTATGAGACTTCTAGGTCCCCTATCCTTTATATAATCATGATATCATCTGAAATACGGACATTAATTATCTAGCGGAATAAGTTACACTTATCAATATATGATTGTATAGGTTTGAATATGGGGTGACATACTATGGTATGCTTTCCGCTGCGTGAAGACGGAATTTACATGTGCAAATCGTACGGAAAACACATTCTACGTCATAATATACACCTTAAACAACATTCACTCACAATGACGTTCTCTTATTCAGGACCACCTCCGTGGTGTGGTGGTTAGAGCGTCCGCCCGGGGAGCGGAAGGTCGTGGGTTCGATCCCCCACCTCGTCATACCAAAGAGACGTTAAAATTTGGTACTTGTTGGTCCCTGCATGGCGCTCGGCATTAATGGGTACAACAAGGACTGGTCAGCTTCACTGTGATATGGTATCTCAGTGGGCTAGCACTAAAAAAACAGCTTCAGTCTGGGCTAGTACAAGCAGCCGCACATACACATACACACGCATGTACGTCGTCATATGAGCGAAATATTCTCAAGCACGACGTTAAACCCAATTTCACCTCAGCTCACCTCATCTCTCTTATTCAGAGAAGTACGACAAAGCTATTGAGGTGGGAAAGGAAGCACTGAAGGCACTGCCACGTGAAATGGACCTGATGTTTAGTGTGGCCAATACTTACATCATGGTGGATAAGTTCCAGGAAAGTGAGGACTTGTTCCTGGCTGGACTACAGATAGACCCACACAGCGCCAGGTTCCATCACAACCTAGGTGATATTGCTTTGTGTTTGTTTTACATTTATCATATAGTTCCTTTTACTGGAGTACCACCCCCCACCCACCCCTCCTTCCTCCTCCTCCTCCTCCTCCTCCTCTTACACACACACACACGGTGGGCATAAATTGCTTTATTAAATTGGTGCCATGTTTAGACCATCCTCAATAATCCAGGCATCACCTGCCCTTTTGCCATGTTACATTCCAAAGAGTTCGGTCTATGACATCAACTCATGCATTATAAACTTGTAAAGAACCGCATGTCCTTTGAATGTTTGTTAATCGTACGCTGCTTTTTCAGGTGTGATGTACTTCCGGTGGGGAAAATACGAGAAGGCCAAGAACTCAGTAACACAGGCCCACCAGCTGGCACCACACGATGCTACCATCAGTTCCAACCTTCAGTTGATTAATAGAGAGCTTGAGGAAAGCAGGAAGTCTAGATTGCCTTGAACAATTCTCCTGAACATGAATACCATTCTTGTTTTTGGTTGAAGCAAAGCAACAGAAGCAGAGGATACGGAGACAATAAACTTTTTACATCTAACACTTGTCTCTTTGTGGTGTCTCACGTATATGTATGAACCATTTGATACGACCTGATTGCTCCTACCTGCAGACGAGCCGGCGTCGTATGTGACGAAGTACAGTCATGTATTCCACTGGTTATGATTTGACGGCATTCGACTCGGTGAGTGAGTTAGTGAGTGGGTGGGTGGGTCCGAGTGAGTGAGTGAGTGAGTGAATCGTCCCAAAGCACATCCCGAAATATCATACTGTATTTCCTCTATAAGACACCAATGAGTAAATCAGTTTCGTTTGAGCGATTCATTTGGCGTCCGTGAGAAATCAGTGTGTATTGGAGTAAATTGCAGCCATTCCTATAGATCGGTATGTCGTCTGTCGATGTATTTACACAATGCATTCTTATTGCTTGTTGGCATTAATAAAAGCAAATGCTTCAGAGGTTCATGTGTGGAATGATGCTTCTGGAGTTGAGTATAGTCTGGAATGTTGTAGAAAGCTGCAGACTAATCCAGATGGTATGTAACTTCCTAGAAGGCCGTTTAACTATAATACGTGGTCAAGCGTATGACTCCCACCTCAAGACCAGGCGCTGTGGGGTAGTCTAGTGGTTAAAGCGTTCGCTACTCGCGTCGAAGACCTGGGTTCGATTCCCCACAATGGGCACAGTGTGTGAAACCCATTTCTGGTGTCCCCCGTGATGTTGCTTAAATTATTGCTAAAATCGGCATAAAATTATACTCACTCACTCACATCAAGACGATATCTTTACAATGTATATCAAGCATAGGTCTATTGTTTCTTTTTGAAAATCGACACGTAACAACCCTAAGCTTTGGCTAAGGGAATGGGCACAATTACGAATTAAAAAGAAAGTGAAAAAGGGATGGCCTTGTAATTAAATCCGAATGTATGAAAGCAATACTTGACGTATAAATACATCTGGTGTTTGTGGAAATGAATTTCTATCGCTTTGAATAGTATGATTTGATAGTTGCCTTTGTGTAAATTCCATGAACCTGTGGAAACAGATGTTTGAACACATGGAAACAGGTCTCCAGTCACAGCTGGGCCGATAACTGGATAGATTGGAGCAAAGCATTACCTTGTCGTGAATACGTTGTGTCATCACTGATTTTCAGTTCATGTATTTTGTCATCACTATTTGCCCTTTACGCCCAGGGGAATCTGTTTCACAGATAATCGACACTGGTTATCGTCACACGTTGATGTCTTATTTTGAGTGAGTGCGTGAATGTGATTTGCGTTCAATGCTGCTTTTAAGACTATTCCTGGTTTCCAGTTACAGGACGTTGCTGTCAGACCCATGCATGGATCTAAGGTCTAAGGTGCTTACCACTTTGGTCAGTCTAAATAAACTTAGGCTCAGTATTATTCGTTACACTGCTATACTGAGTCTAACAAAACCTTGTGGAAGGTCGCGCCAGCTGACTTTTTCAAAGGACCAATCAGAACACAGCTTACCAAATCGCGAAAGTTGACATTCGCACATACCTTTTGAACTTTTACCTCCAAATCGTTTTGTACCCGAACGATTCCGAATGCTTTTTTCCGTACGATCGCTTCCGAGTAATGCACATGGAGCACGCCACAATAGTGAGTAAACAGTCGCTGAGAATAGCGTTTTGTCAGTATTTAAGGATGTCAGCATGCGGAAATATTAGCTAATGATAGCCATGTCGACAGAAACCCAAAGCGTATATTCTGCAGGTCATATATCTGTGTTTTTTGCGGCTTTTCATTTGTTATGAGATCAGTGTTGGCGATCGGGGAAGAGAAAATCCATTTTGTAAGTACCGCCAAACCCTAAATAGTAACCGTTGTCTGATTGGATAAATCCGTTCGGCCGTCTCGCGTTTGATTGGACGGTCATAGGTCGCTCAAAGGTTACCTGGCGCGACCTTCCACAAGGTTTTGTTAGACTCAGTGTAGCAGTGTAACGAATAATACTGAGCCTAAGTTTACTTAGACTGCACTTTGGTGAAACGAACAAACACGGGAATAGTTCTGACAAACCTAAATCGGCACCCTGGTCAAACTTGTTTCCACTGGTCCTCCAAACGTCCACATATTGACACATATTCTTGCAGCAGTTTCATTGGACAAATTGGTTCCTATAAATATTTTATTCACAGATATTTCGAACAACGTTTCTTTCTACACATTTTCCAAGTGAAGTGAAGCACAGCCCAGGCAAATAGTTTTTGAGACATTCTGGCATCGGATCTGACTATTACTGTTTCCTGGATGCTAGAAGTTCGACTTTCCGGTATACTGCGTTGGCTTTCGCATTCTTCCCCCATTGCTGGTAAAGCACACCTGGGAATAAAAAGATACCTCTATGAAAGTGTGTAACTCCGGATGATATCAAACAGCTTCAAAACACGGTAAAGCACACCTGGGAATAAAAAGATACCTCTATGAAAGTGTGTAACTCCGGATGATATCAAACAGCTTCAAAACACGGTAAAGCACACCTGGGAATAAAAAGATACCTCTATGAAAGTGTGTAACTCCGGATGATATCAAACAGCTTCAAAACACGGTAAAGCACACCTGGGAATAAAAAGATACCTCTATGAAAGTGTGTAACTCCGGATGATATCAAACAGCTTCAAAACACGACAACACTTATTTCTCTTGGTGCAGACTTGTGTCTGTTAACTTTCTCAGTCGAAGGAGGCACTGGACGTAAAACGTTCTACCCTGTACTGAATTTAGCTGGCATTGTTCCCACTAACATCACGGCACGGACTTCACTGGAATGGAATCAGGATTTATTCGGCAATTCAAGCCAACGCTTTAACCTCAACACCGCCCGCTGCTCCTTCCCACTCCCATAACAGAAAGACAAAGCGTTCACATTCCAAAGTTCCACTATTAAGTGAACACACACTAGAAAACAACCACTCGAGCATCGACTAGTGACCAGCATTGGAATCTGCAGATGTTATTTTATTTGATGTTGTTCATTTTTTCTTGTTTGTTGTTGTCCATTTCTATATAGGATTGAGCCAAACTGCATAGATATATCCGGATCTTCAATCTGCTGACAGGATCTGCCCTCTATCGTTAAGGGGCAGTGGGGTAGCGTAGTGGTTAAAGTGTTCCTTCGTCACGTTGAAGACCTTGGTTCGAGTCCCTGCATTGGTACAGTGCGTAAAGTCCATTTCTGGTGTTCCCCGCGTGATAGTGCTGGAATATGGCTAAACTCACTCACTCTATAGTTAAAGATACAGACGTAAGGAGATGTAGCTCATAATGCAGATATATTGTTCATAAAATATATCTAGAATTAACATGCTCGTTGGGGTATACAGAACAACACGTTTAACTAAACTTAGAAGAAAATGGTGGACAAAATTACTTCAAACCAAATTTCATTGGAACAATGAAGAATCCTGGTTATATTCACAGAAAATAGAACTGGAATACAAATATTATCGTACCTAAATTTTTATACAGCATGACGTTTTGCTGGTCTAGTTTGATTGCATCAAGAAAGAGTCTTTCACTTTCTGGAAACCGAAGTGCCTGTAGATAGATGTTGGCCAGAATCAACATCAGTTTGGGGTCGTTCTTCACCACCTTGAGAGCTTGCTGGCCAGTTGCTATTGCCACGTTTTGCCTCCCTAAGGTAACACAAACACAATAATGATAAGTGCTTCTGCAAAACAACGTTCAAATCGACTAGAGAACGTTTACAAATTTATTGCTGATTTTGGACTTACAGAAGCGTCGAGCAATGGGATTAGTCAATCTTTTGTTGATTATACCTATCATCACTGATGTTCAGTAGTCGATTCCTGTGATTGTCACGGCTATTGTTTAAATTTTCATTCAGTGAGGTATGTTGGAAGGTCGTTACTGGATGTTCTCTGGTATTTTCGTTAAATATCTTATACAATTTTCATCACTATTTTGCTTGTAACCCCCAATCTCTTACGACAGATATTCAGACCATTTGCTCTCTGATATCACCGATATGAAGTTAAAATCGTCATCATTCACAAAGCAAGCACAAAGACTGGCTTCAGTATTTTAGTATCAGGGTCGATAATTGTCCTATGAATTTTTACTGCATGTCAGCCCACAGTGTTTATTGGTTTATTCGAGGCGCAAACGCCTCAAACCTCTTAATCAGGCTGAATTTGTTCTCGGGTGATATTTCTTTCTATATATATATGTCGTGCGTTATATACGTAATTGCCCAATCAGCGAATTACGCAAAGGCATTGCCCCATTCCCCGTCAACCGCGACCTAGCCTGCTTAATCTGCGGATTGCGCACGCCTCACTCCGTAATCCCATGGAATGAGCAAGAAATGTTTTGATAATCAGATATGATTTATAGCAATAAGAGAGACATTAAAACACGATGATACGCAATTTATTATAGCATTTAAAATACCCTATTTATATCAACTAGCTGATAAGCTATATCAGCTGCACTCTTGAACTTTAGCCGTCTTAATATGCAAAACTTCGTCATGTGATCTTGACAGTCTAGAATGTAACGATAGCCATTTTTTTGTTTGCATATCAATCAGATCAATCTGAAAAAAGACTGAAACGTTTCAGACAGAATTGGTTTCACTATGACACCTTTTGATGTTTTTGGTCTTCTTAACTGACAGTTTCACAGACAGATATGAAATGTGTCACCCGGTCACGAGTCACATTAACAAACTTCTTACTGAGTTCGTGTAATATCCTCTTTTCAACTCCATGTCCACATGTCTGATGAGCATGTTTTATCACGCAATATGGGTCCTCAAACTGAACGAAATAAGATGCTCTGTTCCCTTCTTTATCAAGCGCTTGATTCCGCCAACTTCAGTTGCAGCAAACTTTTTGACAAGTCTGAATTCGCGCTTTTCCTTTGTTACAGTCTTTGGCGGAAGAAACGACTTTATAACTTCTTCATATTCATTTCTTGCAAATACAGAGAATGTACCGCTGTTCATCAAACTTTCAAATCTAATGTTGTCCTCCATCTCAGTGCAACTGTCAGTCGACTACTGGGAGACAAACTATGAAACACTAATCATTGTCTAAAAACACAAGCTCAACCAGGTTTCTTCATACAGCTTGCTCAATCTATGGGATTACGCAGATTAGTTAATTGCTCATTCCACGGGAAATGACAGGATTTGGGCATTGGGCAGGGCGTCGCCCATTCTCGGGGATTACACAAATGTCTTGCATACTTCGCGGATTGGGCAATTCCGTAAATTACGCACGACATATACACTTGGTAATAATCAAAATTTTCCGCAAATGATACTTAGTCTCTTTGTATTTCCAAATGACCAATGAACATAGCTGTAGCAAAATTAGGAACCATGTGACCATGTGGGTAATCCGAAATAATTGTTCCGCTTTAATGCGGAAATCGAGCTTTCTATAAATCTCTAATTTAAACACATTCCGTGTTTTGACTGATGCAGAACGTTAATAAACTTATACACTTTCAATTCCAAACAATTTTACACGTAATAGAGCACACTTGCACTAGTTTAGTGCACAACTGCGAATTGCATAAAGGGAAAATCCATTCCCTTTTAATAGCACCCATTAGCTTTTCCTGGAATTTAGATTCTAGCGAAGGACTGGGTTCCTACCATCGGTTTGAGAGGCGTGTTCAGTAACAGTACCGCGAGTGATGAGCGCTGAGCGTACATGTTATACAGTCTTAGCAATCACTGTGAGAACCCACGCGCGCATATAGACGCTGGCCCGGCAGTGGCACTATATAGGACCATGTTTCCTCCGTCCGTCACCAGTACTTCATTTGCAGACATGGTTAGACATAACAAACACCTTTGATATGAAATGTCATATACTGGAGATGCGAGTACCGATCTCTAATAGAAGCAAGTCTCCAATAGACGGAGGTATGATCATCATGATCCTCTTGAAATCAGCTTCAGACCCAGATCAGCTCGCGTCCTTCTCACTAAATGTCTTTATTTACTCAGGTGCCTCCAACGTTGCCTTCTTGGATCATGTGAGGTGAGGTGAGGTGAACTTGGGTTTAACGTCGTGCTTGAGAATATTTCGCTCATATGACGACGTGCATGCGTGTGTATGTGTATGTGCGGCTGCTTGTACTAGCCCAGACTGAAGCTGGTTTTATAGTGCTAGCCCACTGAGATACCATGCCGCAGTGAAGCATGAATACCCCACTCAGACACATTATACTGACTCCAAGCCGACCAGTCCTTGTTGTACCCATTAATGCCGAGCGCCAGACAGGGACCAAGAAGTATCATATTTTAACGTCTTTTGGTATGACGCGGTCGGGGATCGAACCCGCGACCTTCCGCTCTCCAGGCGGACGCACTAACCACTACACCACGGAGGCGGTCTCTTGTATCATGTGTTGTGATGTACGTATGTAATGTTCATGCGCCAGTCGTTCCAACCGTGTACGTGACAGGTTGATATTAATAATGAAGGTGGGCGGTTAGGTAGTCCAGTGGTTAAACTGTTCGCTCGTCACGCCGAAGACCGGGTTCGATTCCCACATGGGTACAATGCGTAAAGCCCATGTCTGGTGTCCCCCCTTCCCCACACCCCGTGACATTGCTGGAATATTGCTAAAAGCAGAGTAAACCCAACTCACTCACTCACTGATAATGTGACTTACCAAGTTGGTGTAAAAGAAGTACAGTGTTTCTCCAAGCACTAGCGCACGTTGGTGTATACTCAACAGCTTCTCTCCACGCACTCAGAGCCTCGATGGGGCGCCCTGTGTCCCGGTACTACACAGACAATGAGGTACAGCGGTTATAAACACTTGAACGTCAACTGCTCTTTGTTTAGACTGTACTTGCTCTTTTATTTTTAAAATGCATTTTTGGAACCGGAGGTAATTTATAGAATCTATTTATCTGGACCACTGGATACCAATTATATGATATTTTTTTTATTATATGATATTTATATAGCGCACATATCCAGGCAACTAGTGCTTGCTCAAGGCGCTGGTATTTTTTCCCTCGATCATTGGATGTCAGTCTCAACGGCACATCGTGTTATCAATCTCAACTCCCTGGGGATCATACAACTCTTGCAGCCACTAGGCGCACCGAGTTATTGTGGCCTTCTCATCCTAACGAGATATTCAGATATCATAATTTGATTTTGCTGGTAGAGTACGAGTGAGTGAGTTGGTTTTGTGTGAGTGAGTCAGTGGTTGGTTGGGTTTTGAGTGTGTGAGAGGGTGAGTGTGTGAGACGCTTTTGTCTATATTCTTATAACTTTCGGTAGGGTCACCAACTGATGATGAACAGACTTTAAAAAAATAACTTAAGTAGACACATATCATAAATCATATTTATCTGGACCACTGGATATTAATCCAGATATCTTAGTTTGGTTTTCCTGGTAGAGTGGGTGAGTTAGTGGGTGGGTTTGGAGTGAGTGAGTGAGTGAGTAAGGTGCATTTGTCCATATTTCTTTAATACTTCAAAAAGGTTGACCAACTACTGATGAACGGACTTATAACTTATTTAGAGACATATCATTAACATAGGCGGATCCACACGTACGTGTGTGTGTGTGTGTGTGTGTGTGTGTGTGTGTGTGTGTGTGTGTGTGTGTGTGTGTGTGTGTGTGTGTGTGTGTGTGTGTGTGTGTGTGTGTGTGTGTGTGCAGGGACGCGCACCCACCACCACCCCCTTTTCTCAAAAAGCTGTATCAGCCCCTGATTAAACATCAGCAAATATTCATTTCTTATGCTGCACAATACCCATAAGTAACATTGGGTGTAAAGTAGTTACCAAGTTTCCAAGGTTAAAGTGGGCTTTCGAATGTTTTCTTTCGTGTCGAATAGCTTCGAGATAACTGGCCTCAGCCGTCTCAGTTTTCTTCAGTGCTGCCCGCACTACACCGAGGTTTGTCCAAGCTGCCGCAAAGTCTGCCCTGACAACAGGAACACCGATAACATTCATGCCATTGTTGCCAGTTAATTGTTTGTTCGTTGATTGTTGTTTAAAGACGTTTTCAACAATATTGTATGATGGTAGTCTGTTATAAATCTGGCCAGGCAATCCAGTGATTAATACCACAAGCAGACAGCTCCGTAGTAGGGATACGACGCCATGCATCAATTCAGCGAGAACGTCCAGCACATGATTGTGAACGCTATGTATCTTCGCTATCTCACATAATGTCACAATGACCTGTACGTAGTCAATGATGTGGGTCCCATGCTAAAAATAGCACCAGTTATATACAATGAAATTGCAGAAATCATTTTCCTGGAGACTTGTGTAAGTACATGCTCTGTAAAAATATTGTCGTGTTAGCACTAAATAAGACCAAACATTTCTATTTTTTTGTCTTCATGGAGTTTCCAGCCAGCGACAATGTTACAAATCTCACGTCATGGTACACACACGGTAAAAGTAGTTACCTTGTCATAAAGTTATTGACTTCATAAGCGAACACGACTTTTTGTGTACAAAGGGAGACAACCGTTATGTTGAGTTATTTACCAGCGAATTACCTCATTCGTCACCACTCGCCCCTTTCCGTAACTATTCGGCTTGTCCCGGAATAACACGAGTTGGTCACGAATGCGAATTACCTGACACTGACAGCATCCTCTAGCAGCCTCTCTGCCTCCCCAAGATCCCCTCTCTCCTTCAGGATGATGGCCAGGTTGTTCATTGCATATGCATATTCAGGGTTTAGTCTGGGCGGAAAAGACAACCGATGTTTGTGTTATGAGCATACTCCGCTGTCTCGATACAAAGCGATGTGAGTGCTTATCCTGACTAATAGGTGTCAAACCTTCACATACTGTTTACATGTGTTGGGACTTGGTTAAAATCTCATACTAGTAATTGATGATTGGTTCATTACAACCGATCAATCATCGAAAATAATTGGTTAGCGTCATTTTTGAAATGTGTTAATGCACACAAAAATAAGGAAAAAAACATGTAGTTCTTAGGGGTTTTTTGGGCAAAATTTCACATCTTTAAAGGATGACTAGTATGGAGGAACATAAATGTCTTAGAGTCTTTAAGATAAATTCAATCATGACTTGGAACGAGCTTGTAGTGCTTATGAAATGTAACAGACAAAACCAACCTATTGAAAAATACTGTTAATGAAAACAAGTGTTCTAGAATTGATTGTGTTCGATTATGAGAAAACATGATCGATTGCTTGGTCGTTTAGTCACTGCGACCAGTCTTTGATTATTTCAATTAATCGGACCACCACTACTGTTCACATGTAAGTTTATTTCTGGAAGAATCCTTTCGTATCTGTATTTGACCCCGCTTAGTGAGTGAGTGAGTGAGTGAGTGCAGTTTTATACCGCGTTTAGCAACATTCCAGCAATAGCACGGCGGGGGACACCAGAAATGGGCTTCACACATTGAACCTATGTGGGGAATCGAACCCGGGTCTTCAGCGTGACGAGCGGACGCTTTAACCACTAGGCTACCCCACCGCTTAAACGGATGTCGTGTGTGATGACATTTTGCATGCAAATATGCATGGAGTATTGTAGCTTCATTGAAACAAATTGATGCTGCCCAAAACGTCTAACTCACGTTAGCAACAAGGCTAATAACAAGTATTTTATCAACACTTGTATTTTCGTGAATACGCACTTGAGAGCTAGTCTGTATTTCTCTATGGCATATTCTGGGTTGGTCTGTTCCTCAAGCTTGGCTATGTTGAACTGAATCTGGAAATGAATACCATGTGTATTAATTTTAAAGCAGCGCTAGTGAGAAACATATGTTTAAATATACTGAGAAAAACAAATAAAGGATCACAGGAAAATTCACGCGTTCCTTTAATATTTTCCACTTTTCATCACCAGCTTTAATAGCGCTGTGGCGATGAAAACTGGAAAATAACACTTGCATTTTCCTGTTATCCTATTTCTCTCAGTATATATACATGAGCATTAATTAAGCACCACTTGAATCAAAGGGCAATTTTGAAAGTTTTGGTCCAAACAGGCAACGTCATGCACAGTGGGATATAAATTTCATAATGGCAGTATGTGCTCTACAGTCCTCCTCGCTGACTTGAAAGACGACAATACCCCAAAAAAAATTTTTCAAGTGGTGGACTTTCCGAAATATAAAATGGTAAGTTATCGGCATGCATGACGGAGTAATGTCATGTCATGTACTAACTTGAACAGGAACCACACGGTTATTGGTCGATTTGTGAGGAAGCCCGTCGCCATCAATGAAGTTGGTTGGTTGATTGGTTGTTTAACGCCACACTCAGCAAAATTTCAGCTCTATGGTGGCGGTCTGTAAATAATCGAGTCTGGACCAGACAATCCAGTGATCAACAGCATGAGCATCGATCTACGTATTTAGGATAAGATGACCTGTGTCAACCAAGCCAGTGAGCCCGACCACCGGATCCCGTTAGTCGCCTCTTACGACAAGCATGGGTTACTGAAGATCAATTCTAACCCGGATATTCACGGGTTTAGAACTGTATGGATATACTTACTTTAGCATTCAGAGGACAAACACTGACCCCTGATTGGTACAGATCCTTTGCTACCTTCCAGTCGCCGCTTCTCTGAAACGAACAATATATCCGTGATTGGCATTCTTGATATACCTATATTTTCAAAGTGTTTGCATCATTATACAATATTAATTGTAACAATCATTAAATCATTGAAGTGTAACTTCCAGTTTCTTCTTTGACTTTCTATTCAAGTACACATTGTCATCACACTGCAGTACCATGTGTAGTACTTGGCAGCATTAAGCAATGGAATACCATCGCCTGAAGACAAGGTGTTGCGGTACTTTTGTCCATGTGTATATATACATCATACATATCTGTGTATACATACTCACCAATGGCTGCTAAATAAATACATATATACTATATGTCTCACCTGTATTGATCGAAGAACAAACGTTACGATTACAAATGTGAAACCAGCAGAGGCCATCTGTAAATGGGAATAACACATATTTATCAGAATTAAGGTATTGAGATGGAGGGTGGCTTACAAGATTATTGCACATTTACAGTGACGTGCCTACATGTTTGTATACCTGCCCGGGATAATGATAATATAATACCAGGCCACAGCTTAACATCGATACCATACTTATATACAGTATACCATGATATACCAGGTCACACTTTAACAGGGATATCATACTAAGATACAGTATACCACGAGATACCAGACCACACTTTAGCATGGATACCATACTTAGATAAAGTGTACCATGAGATACCAGGCCACACGTAAACACGGATATCATACTTAGATAAAGTAAACCATGAGATACCAGGCCACACTTTAACATGGATACCATACTTAGATAAAGCATACCATGAGATACCAGGCCACACTTTAACATGGATACCATACTTAGATAAAGTATACCATGAGATACCAGGCCACAGCTTAACATGGATACCATACTTAGATAAAGTATACCATGAGATACCAGGCCACACTTTGGCATGGATACCATACTTAGATAAAGTATACCATAAGATACCAGGCCACACTTTAACATGGATACCATACTTAGATAAACTATACCGTGAGATACCAGGCCACACTTTAACATGGATACCATACACAGACACAGTATACTATGAGATACCAGGCCACACTTGAACATGGATACCATACACAGACACAGTATACCATGAGATACCAGGCAACACTTTAACATGGATACCATACACAGACACAGTATACCATGAGATACCAGGCCACTGCTTAACATGGATACCATACTTAGATACAGTTTACAGACTCGCATGGGATTATCTGTTCCATTTATGACGGGAATGGCAGAAACAATGACCATCTGTTAACGTCTATCGGCCTCCAGAGGTAGGTATCATGGTTTACCTATGGGTCACGTGACTGGTCATGCTAGTAAACGTGGACCCTTAAGGATAAGGACTTTACAATTTTGAGTCTTGTTTTTGAGTGCATTTCTGTCCTGACTGTGTGGTGGTGTGTCATGGTGTAGACAACAGATTTAACAATTATATCTGACTGTGAGGAAGACGGCTGAAGGCATTATATTTAATGTTTCGCTGAGACGTTAAACTGATTTTGAGTCAACTATCTGTTAAGAAACACAGATAAGCTTTGCAATCCGTACATCGTACATACTAACTTCATTCTTACGTTGTTTATTGACTCAGCGCCAAACGCCAGTATATCAGCGCCAAACTCAGCCAGGGTACATTAACACACGTGCAAGTTCACCCTCTTCACCTGCTTCAAGTCTACATCCTTCATATGCAAATACATTCTTACCATCTTAGCAGTGGAGTTTGGTTGACATTTATGACAAATCTGTCTGGCCCCGAGCACCACCAACATACAGAAGCCAGCACAGGACAGGTACAGAATCCTCTCTGCGATCACGAAGCCCACACGGAAAAACAGGTTGCTGGCTGGCAGGAAGGGAACGCCCAACACCGCCATGGACGTTATCAGGATCCTGTAGATAGAAAACATTGTCATATACATGTTTGATTATCAGGATTCTGCAAGGAAATGCAAAGTTAGATAAGTAACATCTAATGTTTGTATACCAAACTACTGTTTAACTGATGTTGGTATTTGCTGCCTCGCCATGTTCATTTAAAACCTGGACTGAAAATACTATATACTATTTGTATCAATTTATATTTATGCTGGAAATGAAAGTATTGTATGAACCTGTTATCTCTGGTAAGGCCTCCACGGCAACACTGGAAGACTAAAGCACCAAAGACAGCCCAAAGACCTATGTCTGCCAGTATTCTTGGATCGGCCAATGAGGTGATGACAGGTATACTGCCCATCGACCAATCAAAACACAGCCACCATGGATTTAAAAGCAGCCAAGAATTGATTGCATAAAGGTAGTTGTAGTTCAGAACCTGAAAGAAGTATGTGCAGGAAAATATTTTAAAAAACACATATTTAGAAACAACACTAACTGTTTCATTCAAATTGAACTGCTGGGTTATTTCAACAAGGAAAACTCTATGGTGCGTATATGTATATCTTTCTGATACAAATCTGCCCTGGAAGTGTCCCACTAGCACATAATGCACCTGGAACAAAATGGCCAGCAAATGAAACACATCCCGAATAAGCTGCTGTTAGCAAAGGCGTCTTACCCTGTACAGAATACCGCCAAAAAAGGAATGTGGATTTTCGTCTTGACGGAATGTAGGTGGTGTTGATCCCATTATCCAAAGGCGAGTGATGAGGATGGACACACCAGTTACGAACAATATCAGATGGCGGGTGATGAGACCTTTTACCCAGAGCGGTATCTCCAGCTGCAATTAGCAATGTATAATGCTTATCTCTTATTTAAGAGGGATTAAGAGGCAAAACTTGATGCTCACTAATGGTATAATTATTTCCGTAAAGTGTAAATGAGACCATGTTGACTACACATATCATCATGTTGACTACACATATTATCATGTTGACTACACATATTACCATGTTGACTACACATATCATCATGTTGACTACACATATTACCATGTTGACTACACATATTACCATGTTGACTACACATATTACCATTTTGACTACACATATTATCATGTTGACTACACATATTACCATGTTGACTACACATATTATCATGTTGACTACTCATATTACCATGTTGACTACACATATTATCATGTTGACTACACATATTACCATTTTGACTACACATGTTATCATGTTGACTACACACATTACCATTTTGACTACACATATTACCATGTTGACTACACATATGACCATGTTGACTACACATATTACCATGTTGACTACACATATTACCATGTTGACTACACATATTACCATGTGTAGTTTATTAACTACTTGCATATTTCATTTTTAAGTATTTGGGGACATCCGTAATTTAATAATAAGTTTCAATGTAAGTATAAAGTATATATGTAAGTATCTGCCAACGAAATATTGGCTTACAGACACGTATATCAATAAAATACGCATGTCGTTCCAGAAATTATCCTAGACAACGAGGTGAAAATATAACATATTTACACTATTAATTTCTTAGTACAGGGCATCAGACAGCATAGTATCATAACCTATTGTCGTAATCATGACACTTCTTTTTGAAAGACTTGGTGACAGGACTGAACGTTAAACAAATACACGCCGTTTACAAAACATCCCAATTCTTGAAAAGTTAATCGAAGCATGTAGGACTGCACGGTATTACCGGTCTACCGGTATAACACGATACTCTTTTCAAACGATATGTATTGCAATACTTTTTCTGAGAACCGGTATATTGGTTGAAGAAAATATAATTTTACAAATATTTTAGGGTTTAAATCAAAATCAACACAGACTTTCATTCACAACAAATGTTTTCCATTGTTATTCAATGACTAAAAGTCATACTGTAATCCTATAAATTGTAACATAAAGAAAATTGAATCCCTGGCTATGCAAGCTAATTTTGAGATTGCTGAATCATAACATATATGTGAATGTGAATGAACCTATAACGTAAAAACTAGTACTGACATGCACAGTAAGTGACACTCACTGTCAAACACCTAAGTTCCCAATACATGTATATCGCAATACGTATCGCAATATATTGCAATACAATGTATTTGCCAGTACACAGCCCCAGAAGCATGAGGCAGAGCAGATTGTATTAGTGATTTCTATCAAGGAAATATGACCAGGTCAGAGTTTGGAATTACTTAACACCTCAATGTTGAATAGGGATCTGTTTGTTTTTACTATAAAGGAAGCGACTTACCGTATGTCCAACATGGTTATTGTTAAATTCGCAATGACCATTATCAGTACACGTCTTTGATTTCTTTATTGCCAGACACTGGAGAGGGTGAAGTCTACACACTGTGACGATGTCGAACACACTGCAAATGCCCTACAAAGAACATGCAATATGTTTACGTTGTGTGACATTTTCAGACGATACAGTACGAAGGAAATAAATAATAAGAATAATCGAAGTTCAATACCAACCGGTTTTTTTCACAACATATTGTATCAATAATTTTGCTGTACGAAATAGTCAGCAAACGTGGTTTTCTAAGTGGAAGGACACTGAAGAAGATTTGAGGGACTACAAAAGCAATTTTGTAAGGTATAATGACAGTGACGTTACCGACGTAAAATTCATCTTTCACTCGATCAAGGAGTAAGAATATTCTCCGAAATGTTATGTCAGTCATAATTAAGAACGTAACATCCATAAATTTTAACGCTTGATGTGTGTCGCTTCTACATGCAATTCAATGACTATCGACTTACTATGACAGTGATGCCCTGCTCCTTACAGAAGGTGGACACGACACACAGACACATACTGGCCAGTATAAACACCAGGGAGAAGGACTCGGGGCGGTAGCTGACCGAGCATGAAGCTGAAATCAGAAAGATCCATGATACGACACACAGACACATACTGGCCAGTATAGACACCAGGGAGAAAGACTTGGGACGGTAGCTGACCAAGCATGAAGCTGAAATAAGAAAGATCCATGACATGTCACACAGACACATACTGGCCAGTATAGACACCAGGGAGAAGGACTCGGGACGGTAGCTGACCGAGCATGAAGCTGAAATCATCATACATTGTAATTTTTCTACGAAATGAATTTCCTTAACAACAGATGCCATACAAACCGGAATATATCCCCGAAGAAATCAAGTATACCTTTCAAGAAATCACACCACATTAACAGAGGAAACATAACTGATTCCACTTCTGACAATATGGAAAAATATAAGAAAAAACAGCACATAACTTCCTTTCTGACTTGTATGTGATAGCAATTCAAATTTCAAATGCCAAAGAAATGGTTTGTACAATTCATACCACCTTATGCATAAGATGATTCTAATTCGAAGTTGTGATTAGCAATGTTGATGATTATTATCAAGAAAAAAACAAGGTCAAAATCATTGAACTCTATCACATCGTGCTTCTTTTAAACAGAACCAAATTATCCATTTTAGCACAAGTTTGTCTTTAGGACGATAATGTCTGTATAGATTCCAGTGTCACATCCCTGGTAAAACACGTGCAGGTAAATGTAGGTAATACCACAACCATGGGTAACCCCAAGCATTGAAGCCGTGAAGTAATTTACAGATGTTGTCTGTTCACATAATACCAGCAGGTGCTAATGTACCCACACATGTACTTGTTTATTGGACATTATGAGGAACCAGTGTTATACAATACTTCAACGACTGTTCAATGGACATTACAAAGCACCAATGTTTTATTCAACACATTTATGTGCCAAGTTATTGGAATAACGTGAGAGGTAAACCCTGGCATGTAACAAGAATGAAAAAAAGAAGGAGGTCAGGGCACAAAGCAGGTCATCTATGTAATCTACCAATGCCAATGGGCATTACGGAATTCAATAATAAGATGACACAGTACTAGTAAATGCTTATTGAAACCTGCACCCATTATCAAGACTTACGCGAGAGGCAGGCCCTGGCGTACAGCAGGAATGATAGAAGGAAGGTCAAGGCACACAGCAGGTCAGCCCGACCCACGACCCCTGCTACCTGTAACCCAACATAACATGTAAAATACGCTGGATGCATCAAAAACATAATGCATATAAGTGACATAAACTGACGTTATCTAACACGGTCACAAAAATATCTCGAAGAACCCAATGACAGTCGAAAGGAACACTGGACAGAGTTTCTTTAAAACTCACTCCACTGAAATGATCACAGGACATTGTTTCAGGTATGTGCTTCATCAAATATTTATCATGAAGTCAAATACACTTTATGGATAAACTGGAAACTGTACTATTAAAATGATGAATTCGAGCTAAATTGCCTATTGGGATCTCTAAATCTAATAAACAAAATCGTTTTAAACTCACACTCTCGGTGTGAATGGGATGCACAGCAAACAACACAGAACAGAGGAGGGCAGCTCGGGGCGAGGCAAACACAGGCCTGGCAGATTCCTGGTCCACCTGGTAACCAGACATGAGGACAGAGAATACTGCCAGGAAGATGACCGACACCAAGCCGTGCAGGACGATGTTGACAACATGGAAGCCCCGAGGATGAAGCCCATCAGCCCATGCATAGTTCCACCTGGAACGTAAATTTAATATTACCATACCGCACCATGCTCATTCCCTTGGATTCCTTGGTGGTAAAGGTCTAAGACCTGCATCCCTTCCACATAAGCTGACATGCATATGGAGATGTGTCTAAACTACTCATTGTAACACCCGCCACCATTTAAATGACAAATGACACGTGTACCTCCACGTCAAAATTTGATATCAGTTGATCAAATAAACTTTGATTATATGGAAAAGGGGGTATTGTGATATCTGATCAAATAGAAGCGACAAAACTCTATTTCCATAAGAAATCTCTGCTAAAAGCAGAATCAATTGTACAATTCTGACTATATATTGAGTATGTGTTTGTTTCAGCAGAATTACAACTGTACGATGTTGTTTGTAAATATTTGAATCTGGACCACACAATCCCAATCAATCTTTATTTCAGTACTGAGGAGGCCACAGGCCTGAAGTACATTTCATATATGCAGTTTTCTTAGCATCATTGCTTGATAAATAAAAACAGCAACATTTTTAATTACAATTTCATGTAAACAGTTCAATAGAGAAAAACATATATCAATTGATGGATGGACAAAATAGAATTCTTTAATATATTTTCACGTACAGTAATATATGTTGGGCATACAAGAAGAAAATGATATTTTTCTTCTACTATAACATACTATTACAGCATCTACAGGTTCTATCTTCTCTTTTGATATTCATAAACCTACCTTTTTCAATTAATACAACGAAAACGAGCTAAGTATATTCTAAATTTCTTAACATTAACACATTATAAATAACGTTTAGTATAAATGTAAGTTTTAAAGATTGAGTAGTATTTACATTTTGTGGATATTGAAATTGTTTCCAACCATTTTGCTGGTAAATATCTTTTAATTTTTGCGTTAAATGTATTTAGAAACAATGACGAAAATTTTACATGTTGTTCATACCATAAATGATTAAATCCATTTGAAAACACTAGGTGTTTGACATCTGTTATCCAATTCGTTTTACCTTCTTTGACATATAGTAACACCATAGCATAGCATTTTTTCGGTTAACGGTAGGGTGGCATACTTAATAACCATATCCAATATTTAATCGTTCTGATTTGTGAAGATATGGTGAGCGGGTATTTGCCACATTCCCCATATATCATAACATTTGATGTGCTCATCTTTACCCCAAGAAATTTCTTGCAGACAAATAAATGTACCTTTTCTGTGGAATGAAAGTATTTAAATCCCCAAAATTCCGCACCATACAATAGAATCGGGTTGGTTTTAACATTAGCTATTTAAACTTAAATCCCCGAGTATTTTTATATTTCCCAATATACCTATCAGTACCTTTCGTGCTTGAACATATGTATATTTTGCATGTTTTTTTCTCTTTTGCATAATTACCCCCTTTTACTTAAAACATCTACTTTTGTTTTATCCATGTTTACAGTTAGGCATGATTTTTACAGTAGTTTTCTAATTCATTATTTTTTTTCTGTAGGCTAATAACAGTACTTGATATGAGAACAACACCATCTGCAAATGATAAGAGGAAAAGATGAAACATATCGGGATGCAACTGTATACCATGTGAGCAATTGTTTTCTGTCTGTACTGCTAGTTCACTTATAAAGAAGGAAAACAGAAAAAGGATTGAGTACACAGTCTTGCCCTACTCCAATATGTACATCAAACGTTTCAGCGAGTGCAGTGTTATTCCTCACATAAGTTTAAACATTCTCATATATGTTACTTAGCAGATTGGTCATTTTGAGGCTACGTTCATCTGCGTTACATAATGCCCATAGCTTATGTCTTTGCACAGAATCAGATGCTTTTGAAAACTCAACAAACAATGTATATAACCTCCCACTTTGAGTATTTAAATATCTTTGTATCACACTCTGTAATATAAACGTGTTATCAATTGTTGTATATCCCTGTCTAAATCCAGCCTGGGATTCATTTAATTTATTCATTGTTTGTCCTCCCAAAATAATCTTTGGTTGGTAACTGAAGTGAAAACATCACTAAATACAGTACAACCAGAAATTATTGAGAATTTAAGATTGTAATTTTACTTCATTTCACTCATTACTCACGTATTAAATGTGAATATTAGCAGAACATAACTCCAGATTCAAAGACAGGTGAACAGTTAGTATTTTGTCAAGTCACCATGGGCAGCAATGCAGGCTTCAATGCTGCGGGGCATACCACTGATCAAAGAAGTTAGAAAGTCGTGGTCCATGCTGTTCCAATATCGGACCACCTCTTCTTTCATTTCAGCAATATTTGTCACATTTTTCTTATTGACACTTTCTTTCATAAGTCCCCAAACATTTTCTATTGGATTTAGGTCAGGGCTATAGCTTGGTCAATCTAATAATGTCATATTTTGGGCCCGAAACCAGGCCTGTGAATGCTTTGAACGATGTCGTTGTCCTGCTGGAAAATCCCAAAATGTCCATAGAACACGTGAGCAGATGGAAGTAAATGTCCCTCGAGAATATCTGTGTACCGCTCACTGTTCATATTCCCTTCAAATACACAGAGGGGCGTTGCCCCTAACACAGATATGCCACCCCACACGTTAAATTTAGGACTGTACTTTGGGCGCTGATACAAGGGTTTTTCAGTTTGTTTGGTCCAGAATTTCAGTGTATTAGGAAACAGTCACACAGAACTTTCATCTGAGAAAATCACATTGTCCCAGTTAAAATTTCTATGCTGTAAGCACCAGTTCAACCTTCGCTCCTTTTGGTCAGGTTTCATGATCGGTGATAGAATTCCTCGACTTTTCTGCCAACCCATTGAATGCAGCTCAGTTCTAATTGTCTCCTTACAGACCAATGGGTAGGAAATGTCCCTCTTTCTAACATCAGATTGAAAACTAAATCGATATAAGGTAATAGAAGATCAACAGAATATTTTAAAAAGTCTGGAATTACATCATCTATTGCTGGAGATTTGTTGAGTTTAAGGTTGTTTATGCTATCTAAGATCTTGTCTCTGGATATTGAAGAGTTAAGAATGTCTTTTATAAGGTCGCTGTTTGGGTCATTAGTTAACATCAAAATCACGACTCTAACATGAAGCGCGTAATTTCATATCCAGACAATCCAGTGATTGACACCATGACATACGATGACAAAGCATGTGTTTATGAATCTCTGTCAAATAGTGATGACACCAGGTGTTCGTGAAAAGGTGAGCGTATCCTGTCGCACCGGTGGCACCAGTCATAAACCAATTGTTCATCTGAACTCATGCTACAAGTCAATAATAGGGATTTGCAAAACATTATGAACATAAGTTCTACGTGAAATACTCGAATTTGACTGGACAATCAATAAAATAACACTCTATCAATCTGGATTGAAAATGTGTCCGATTTTATGACCGCTTCACTGTGCAAGCATACAACACTGAAGCACTACTTCAGCTTGACCACCAACATGGCTGATATCAACGCAACAGACGTGGTGGAAATGTTAATAACAAAACATTTATTGAGATTCTTGAGAGGCATTTAGAAGTTGGTGAATATATAAGACAAATATATTGTGATATACGGTGATTGAAGAAGGGGCAAGAAGTGGCCCAGAAACGTCGTGTTATACAATAAATAAGAAGTTGCCGTCCATATACTTTCTTATAAAACATTTATTAAAACTCGAAATGGTGAACTATGATTTTTCCTCCACATTTATTAGGGAACGTCACTATCATATTACCTTCTATTATACGAATATATTAAATTCAATTACAATGCATACGCCCATAAACAAACAATATTTAACTTATCAGAAAGCCTTGTGAAAATACGTTCCTATTTATACAAAATTTACACATAACGTTAGTAATATCTGAGTACCTGACAAACGGTATGTTTGTTTTCGTTTAGATTAGTTTACACACATGAGATATCCAGTAAGTTTGAAGTTTGGAGCACTTCCTAAAGAACAACAGTCACACCTTCGACACTATCATGCGGAATTTCAGAAGATAAGGGTCAGACAAACCCCCAAATTCATGCCACCCATACTCCCTCATGTCCCGTTCCATCGTTCAAAAAGTACATGATTGTCAAAAACTGAACCACAGTACCACGACACACAAAACAATAGGTTGCTTTCGGTCGTGTGTTGGTGGGCTTATAAAAACCAAGCTGTTACGTATTAAATTATGGCATTGAATAAAAAGTTGTTTGTTTTCTTTGGACAGAATATTTCTTATGTTGCAATATTAAAAGAAATACGAACAGCACCTACCACTCCACTCACAGGACGAATTCATGCCGGACAACCCAGTGTCTTCCGCGGAACGAAGAAGTTCGGAATGAATCGTTTATGGTAGAATCGAGATACACGTACTGTGTTTGGAAATTAGATGAATGTCAGACCAAACCGTTAATCTCTAAATGAATCATTTGAATCCTCGTGATAGCCTCTAAATTAATCATTCATTCAATTTTCAAAGACAGTACGTTTATCTCCCAATTCTGAACACGTTTTAATTAGTATTGATGTGTAATCAAAACAAGCACATTTCGCTGTGTAATCAAAATAAGCACATGTCGCTTTGTTATCAAAACTTCAATATGGAACGTATTGTGGTGCGATCAAAATGACATTATGAAACGTTATAAACAACATCCGAGCCTAATTAATGTCCATGAATGATCAAATATAGAACGTCAGTGCGAAAGATTACCCAGTCTTGACTATTGTCAGAAACAAACTCCGTCTGGTGTGAAGGGAAAACTTACTGTGAAAATGAACAGTAAACTGAAATAATTAAACCTAGTATGATCAACATGACATGCAATGTCACCGGGAACCCACTATCACAGGGCCGGTAGCCTAGTGGTGAACGCGTCTGCTCGTCACGCTGAAGACCCGGGTTCGATTCCCCACATGAGTACAATGGCATAAAACCAAACTCACTCACTCACTATTACCTCAAGGAAGCATATGGCTCTGTTACAAGCAACATGCCAAGAGGGTGGGGTCCTAGCGACTGTGTCCCATACCCAATTGTAAAGTAACCCTACTTACTCGAAGATGTTAATAATGAAGAACCTATAGCTACTCACCTGAAGGTCATCACAGTGAGAGGCCTGTAAGATTTGTGGCTTCTGTTGTCCATCGCCTTTCCCCAAAAGTCATGAGCAAAGAGGGCGGAAGGGGGGATTTCGGGAAGCACGTCTTTGTTGGTAGTAATGGCCGAAATGTCATCGTATACAAAATCCCCATTGATGGTGTTCGCGAAGCACAGCACCGCCAGACAGAAGACGAGGACGGATGCCACGGAGAAGCTGAGTTTGGGTACATGCAGCACGTCATCCCAGTCTGGTTGCTGGTAGCTGCAAACATGGCCGTTGGTCTTGGAGGATGTGGAGGTTGATCTACTGATGGCCACCATCACCAGTGTGTTATTCTGCAGATCAAATCAAATCATCTGTAAGTAACCAAGTATATGTAGTCGCATAACACCCGTGAAGATCAGGGTTAGATATGATCTTCAACAACCCATGCTTGTAGTATGTGGCGACTAACGGCGTCGAGTGATCAAGGCACACTGATTTGGTTAACACATGTCATCAATTCCCAATTGTGTAGATCGAAGCTAATAATGTCAACCGCTGTTCCAGTATGGATTAATCACAGACCGCCTTCATATAGCTGCAGTATTTCTCAGTAGGGCGTTATACAGTTAACGAACACACATCGAATGACAATGACCATAAAAATATTTAGAGTAAAACTAGCTATATTTTTATACAAAATCATGTACTTGGGAAATAATCCGAATAAGCTCGATGACTGAATGACTGACTGAGTTTGGTTTTACGCCGCTTTTAGCAATATTCCAGCAACATCACGGCGGGGAACACCAATAACCTCGATGAACACCGATGGGGATGTATATCGGGCCTTTTGATTTTAGCCAATCATTTTCTAGTGAGTAATTGATTTTGTAAGACTATATACCTGGCATGCACACGCGTAATATTAATATCTATATCAGGTAGATGATAAATATGTAGATCAGGTTTACAAAAATGTCTCACTTACCGTTTCAACACTATCCGATATCCAAGATACATCATGTCAGCACGTTTTGTTATATCCTCCTCCGAGGTACATGCATGATTTAGACAGCAGATTGAACCACCAGTTGATTTCACCAACCAATCAGTAGCTGCTGCAGACCGTGCCTATGGATTTTTGAGGGAACACATGCGAAACATCGACCGCCAAATTCGATTTGGTTCTCAAATATAACCAGAACATCGTCGTTTGATGTTCCGGCTGTGACGACTATTTGAAGTGAGTGAGAAAGTGAGTTTAGTTTTACACCGCTTTTTGCAATATTCCAGCAATATCACGGCGGGGGACACCTGAAATTGGCTTCACACATTGTACCCATGTGGGGAATCGAATCCAGATCTTCAGCGAGACGGGCTTTTATCACACGATATTTCAGATTGATGTTAATGCTGCTTCACAAACTTTGCTCATGCTTCATCTGTTTGATAGGGGAGGGGTTGGGGGTGGGGGCTGTTTTGATGAACGTACGGCATCTGATGCTACAGGCCAGAGAACTACGATCTGATGCTAGAGGTTAAGGGATCTACTACGAGTGCCCCTTCCTGAGTCTACACCGTCACATCTGCAGGGGAGCACTGCCAGAGAGCACAAAAGCAATCAGAACCGCATTACTAGCCTGTCTCACAGTCCCTGAGCCACTTTATTTTCCCTACAACCCTCCCTGCGATGCTAAAGCACTAAATGAAGTAAGCCTGGATTCCCTCGGGTTCAGGTTCGGAATTTCCCATCTACCTGGGGCTCGTTTTCAATTTAAATGGATTTAGTTGTTACTGTCAAAATTATATATATTCAGAGAATTCGCGTTAGTCTACCGCTTTAGCTTCAGTGCTACAGTATTGATTCCCATACCGCTGAGCGTGCATATTAACCAATACAATGGCCACCGTATGTAACAGATTGGTTTCATTCAGATTTAGTGTTAGACATGTTACGCATGCAGATAGTTTATGACTTGCACAAGGTATATTAATAATACATTTAATATGTATATGAGACAACTTTTCAAGTCATAACATTAGAGAGGTGGATTGTATGCATATTTTTATTATATACTCGGAAACACGATTATTTATCATTGTTAAAAATATCGTGATACATTTACGGCTATGAACTAGAGAAAGAGTGTGTTAAAATGAGCCAAGCAGTTGTTGTTCGAATTTGCAAGAAGCATGACATCAACATGGCTGCGAAGGTTCTCTTGAGAAGGTCGGGCACCAGACATTTATCATTTCCACTCAATACAGTCGTAAGATGTGTAGAACACAAAAAACCCCTCTAGTTATCGTTCTGGGTGCCGTTGTACAGAGCGATCATAGCGCTAAGGTGACTGTAACTCCCATACCTTAACATAGGCTTAAGGTAGCCTTAGCGCTAAGGCTGTTTTGTAGAACGGCACCCAGTTCTGTTGACTGATAGAAAGCTAAACGTATGCTTCAGTCTGTTACCTCGCTGAGTGAGGTTGCCCGTCGAATCAACATCCCTAGAAACACCACTTGACACTTATGACAACGTTTTCACCGAAGCTATCAAGTTTAAGAAAGTGGAAATAAAATATATATATATATATATATATATATATATATATATATATAAAAATATATATAAAAGTTTCAGAAACTCGAGCTCCCCGTAGAGGCCACCAAACAGTCATGACCCCAAGACCAATGGATTCGAACCAGTCAGTTGTTATTATAACTCGTACGATACCTGGCAACAACGGTTTATCTGGTCGCATGTACGGTATCCATGCACGACGGCATCACAGCCCGATGTCAGAACTTCGACGTCGACGGCGGGAGGACATGAGCGGAGAATTGTTCTCTTCACCGATGAGTCACGATTTCTTCTTCACCAAACTGACGGGCAGGTGAATGTTACATCAAGCCATGTGTTCTAGAAGGGGGTCGTTTGAGAGTTGGGGGCGTTATGATAAGGGTGCAGCAAGGACGCGAATGATTGTGATTGAGGCGCAATTAATTGCCGTGAAGTACCAAGGCCAGATTTTGCAATGGCCGCTATACAGTTTTTGCACCTTTTTTTCTGTTTGTTATTTGTGTGTCACAACTTTTGCCATTGAGTAGACATGCTTTTGTGTGTATATAGGTGATTCGTGTGTGCGTGTGTGTGTCTATGTGTGTTAATATGAAACACCGTAGTAAAGAATAACAGAAATTGTAATTCTTTTAAAAGTTGTTAATATCACATACTTGCATACATATACCGTAGTAAAGAATAATTGAAATAAGGAGAAATTTGTAATTCTTTAAAAAGTTGTCATATATTTAGTAACAAACAACCCTCGAAATTTCGAGAAATGTCGCTTAAAAATTCAAAGTTGGAATATTTTGAAGTTTTTGAAGTTTTGAAGGCGATTAGCTGTGAAGTAAGATGTACAAATGCTCAATGTATCGACTGTTGTGGAGGCATCGTGTGTGCACATTAAGTGATTAAAGAAGGAATTTCTGTTTCATCCACTGTTGGTTTAATCTCCACTATCGAATTACAATTCAAAGAAAAGCCGGAGGGGGATAGTGCAATTTACTTTTGTATATTTTGATTTTGTTACCGCTTTTGTTTCAATTTCAATGACATTTCACTTTTGCAACATGTTTTTAGATTGATGATCGAGCTTGAGGTTAACGCTATATCATTATTAAATTGTTAAATTGTAAAATGTACAGATTTCAGCTGAATGTCTTTTGGATATTGACATATACACTTCTTCAGAAGAATATTGGACTCATGTACCTGCGGCCAAAACAATACAAATACACTATTTCTTTCTACAAACGTCATCTTTGAATGATTGTAAACAGCTTCAGTGCCAAAATGCAGCAATTTTAACTTTTTTTCCATTGTTTTAGAAGCGTTTGAAGACATATTCGCCAAAACGTCACCAAGAAAACATGCAAAGCAAAATGCACGTGCAAGTAAGTGGAAAAGCATGCGGTATCGATCACTATAAAAAGGCAAACGTTGTGTATACTTTTTCATTCGTTTTTGCCTGGAAAAGAGGAACATCATGCATGACTAAGTGCAATCGACACATCGCCATAGTCCACCTTGAAGCTGGGTAGTCGCAGTCTGCAGTTGCCGGACATTTCAACGTTCATCAGAGCACGATATCTCGCCTTTGGGATCGTTTCCTGCAGAGCCCAAACGCCCTGGAGCGCCTGAGAAGTGGCCGTGAAGAGTTACCACCCATGACCAGGACAGCTACATCCGGGTTTGCTCACTTGCTGTTATCGTCTTGTCACAGCCGTGGAGACTGACTGCACAACGCATCCCTGGTTTGGAAAGAATTTCCGACCAAACTGTCAGGAATCGATTCGTGAAGTGGGATTCGACCAAGAAGGCCAGTTGTCGCCCCTGTTATGAGAGACTTCCATCAGCGCAGTTGCTTGCGCTGGTGTCGTAGAGCCCGTAACTGGAAGCTTACAAACTTGAGGCGAGCCTTATTCAGTGATGAATCACGATTTCGTCTTCACCGGCGAGATGGAACACAGCGTTTTCGAAAAGAACGGTTTGCCCCTAATTGCATCTCGATAGGTCGACAGATTCGATGGAGACAATGTCATGGTGTGGGGTGGTATATCCAGCACACAAAGATCTGATTTAGTTGTGGTTCAGGGGAAACTGACAGCAGATCGGTACATCAACGAAGTCCTTGCACGTCACATGCTTCCGATTATGGACCGACAGAGGGAGTTGTTCCAGCATGGCAACGCACGCACCTGTGGATGAACTCGATCGACGTGTACGTCAACGTCAAAACACGCCTCAGTGACACTTCCACAACTAGCCATCGCATTGCAGGAAGAGTGGGGAAGAATTCCGCAAGAGCGACATCGTCGACTTATCCAGTCTGTGCCGACACTGTCCCGAGCAGTAATCGCTGCCAATGGATGCCATACAAAGTCCTGACTTTGACGCCACCTTGTGGACTCAAGTAAACAGTGCAATCTTTGTCTATAGACGTGAATTTTCACCTTTTACCATTGAAATTACATGAAACAATTCTCTTAAACTAACTTTTTATAAAGAGCGCATATACATGTACATTTTACAATTATGTATATATATATATGTTTCGCTAATACATATTTTTTCATTATACATCATCTGAATAAATAATGTTTTGATCTGAATGATTATGAAAATGCAAGTGTAATTTTGATTTTCGCTTCCTTTGTTTATATATGTCTACGCCTCTGACTAATACCATTAATTATATACGAAGGACGCCCAACACTAAACTGTACACCTGTTTATGACCAGCCAGTACAACTCATTTACAGTTGCTCTCCTTTAACCTCGAAGTATCCCGGAAGAACCTATTTGGAACGACGTTAAAACAACACTAGCCTTCTGTCACATGACATATTTATCTTACGCCCCAAAAGAAACATTCCCCCTTTCACTCTGATAGGCAATAGCGATAAAGCATGCTCATTCATTATTGTATATCCATTACTTTGAGGTAATGAAACGCCCTCGCACTCAGTATTGTCATGGCGATTCACAATGAAATCTGTAGCAATACCCGTGTTGTCAGGCGCATAGCAAGCCATTTTTTCTTGTAAGCCCGATAAGTTACAAAGCTTCATGTATAGATGATATTGAGGGCTTGCCCAGCCTTTTTAGCAACAATCATGTGTAAGCCAGGGCTTTTTATATTATGGTAGCTACGCCCCTGGTTGTGTACATTCTTGTTTAGCTGAGGTGAGGTGAAATTGGGTTTAACGTCGTGCTTGAGAATATTTCGCTCATATGACGACGTGCATGCGTGTGTATGTGTATGTGCGGCTGCTTGTACTAGCCCAGACTTAAGCTGGTTTGATAGTGTATGCCGCAGTGAAGCATTCACTTTGTTTAGCTGAGTGTTTTGTAATTTGATACACTGGAGACTCCGAGGTAAGATAATTTAATGAAATTTGTCAGTCATATATTTCAGAATGTTTAAAGAATATGTAATAGGCAACATATTTACTTATGGATGTCCCTGTCATGTAAACAACAGGTAAAGACTGCATGTAACGGCGGCAACACTGTGACGGTATGTAATGTTACCACCGTAAGGGCCGTAACGGACACAAGTTCTATATAAATGTTCTACATAGGCTCTGATATGTAAGTAGAAAAGATATGTATTTTTGTTAATATCCCAACCTTAATAAAATATATAACTTATTACTAAGTGATTGTTTGTGTTCATTACTGATTAATGGATTAAACCATTACAGACTGAGGTAATCAGTATGCTAAAGTGTGAGCAGTCAACCAGAAATGTTGTTGTTATATGCTGTGGAAGTTTTGGGATGTGGAAGTTTTGGGAGGATATCGGCGGGTTCGATTATCCACTTGGGTACCTATTTCTGGCATTGAAAACGGTGTAAACCCACTCACTCACTCACTCAAAAAAAAGTGATGATAGTTGATTTATTTACAAATATATTTACACGTGGTGTTAAGTGGCACCTATGCCGTGCCGTGATCTGCTGCTGATAATACACGTAATAACATTGAGCCACTCATTCCACACCGGTCTCAATAAAGACGTTCCTGGGACTGTCATAAATATACTCAAGGAAACAAACAAGGGAACACATGAAAGTACAAGTCTCCCTTTATTCTTTTTCCAGGTTTCTTCACAAGGTTTGTATTGCACTGTTGGTGAAATTCTGGGAATGAAGAAAGGATCAGTTGTACTTTCATGTGTTCCCTCATTAGTTTCCATGAGTATATTATGAATCCTGACAGACTGGTGATTTTGGTCCACGTTTGTCTTCAAGTCATCATAAACCTTGATTCATTGCCCTGAACTCGGGAAACAGATGGTGACGGACTTCGACATGTTGACGCATTGTCCTCTCACTTAGGAAACATATGGCTACAATCCTCGAAATGTTACGTGTTTCTCTGACCTGGGAAACAGGTGGAATTAGAGCTTCTAAGGAAACCAACTGACAGGACAGGTCATGGTCTATATTTCACTGTTGTTTCCTATGTCCTCATATGCACACAGACATCTAGGCTTTACTTAACTTTCCCATTTTCTTCTGCAGCAGTTGAAGATTTTTAACATACGTCGCGTCACCTGGGTTAAGCTCTACAGCCCGGGTAAAGGCGGCCTCGGCTTTCTCATTCTTTCCCCATCGATGATATAATACACCTTGAACAGAGAAGGAGGTATGATATAAACTCACGTACAAAGAATGAATGTAGATTCATCAATGGGACTCATGGTATTTAATCTGACAGAATTGGGAAATAATACCCTACATCATCGAGGATGGCATCGACACTTAACTTTAATTTAACAAAGAAGATGCGATTAAACCTGATCGTAGTAGGTATCCACACGCATAGGATAAACGAGTGAGTGAGTTGAGTTTTACGCCGCACTCAGCAATATTCCAGCTATATGGCGGCGGTCTGTAAATAATCGAGTCTGGACCAGACAATCCAGTGATCAACATCATGAGCCTCGATTTACGCAACTGGGATACAATGGTATGTGGCAACCCAGTCAGCGAGCCTGACCACCCGATTCCGTTAGTCGCCGCTGACGAAAACCATGGGTTACTGAAGATCAATTCTAACCCGGATCTTCGCGGGTGATAGGATTAACGAAGTGAATACAGGGAATACGGAACAAACACAATACAATATTACCTAGGTTGTGATGGAACTTGGCGCTGTGTGGGTCTATCTGTAGTCCAGCCAGGAACAGGTCCTCACTTTCCTGGAACTTATCCACCATGATGTAAGTATTGGCCAGATGGAACATCAGATCAGTATCGCCAGGAAGTGCCTTCAGAGCATCTTTACCAACTGCTATAGCAAGCTCGTACCTCCCTGAATAGGATAATAACAGTATATAGACACAGGTTCAGAAACAGTATCCTATATGTGGTATTTAAGGTCTTGTTTACTGTCTGTTCTCCATGCAACAACCCCTGTCGGATCAGACACGCCGTCACTGCATGCAAGTCAAACACCCATTTAACATGTGTATGGGTAGTTGTGGGGTAAAGTATGGACTAGCTGTCTCATTCGAAGAAATAATCGAGTGTAATTTAGGGAACACTGATCACTTCTGAAGTTCCGCGCAGAAAATGGCTACTGAAAATGGATGCGCTGATTGCCACTCGACTCCTTGCACCTATGGTGGCTGATTATATCTCGTGCTATCGCTTTCTCGTCTCGTGTTATCGCTTTCTCGTCTCGTGATATCGCTTTCTCGCTTTCTCGCCTCCGAATTTTAAGGCGAGAAAGCAATGGCCCTAATCAGCCACCATACTAATCAGCCACCATATGCACCAGAGTAGTACACAATCTCCCGGTTTTCAAGATCGACCAACATAGCAAATTCGAAAAACATGACTCTCCTTTATGCCTACTTTCAAAATAGGGTGTCGTCCAAGGCAGTATGTGGGCGTGAGTAGTACCGAGAACATACTTAAAAGCTGGTGGTTCCTGAATCTGCAGTTCTGCATGTGTGTTCTTCTCCACATTACTGTGGGAGAAGGAATCTGTGGCAAACTGTGGCAATCTAAATCTGTGGCAAACTGTGGCAATCTAAATCTGTGGCAAACTGTGGCAATCTAAATCTGTGGCAAAATGTGGCAATCTAAATCTGTGGCAAAATGTGGCAATCTAAATCTGTGGCAAACTGGCAATCTAAATCTGTGGCAAACTGTGCCAATCTAAATCTGTGGCAAACTCAGTACACAAACTTGCCATTTTGATATAACCACTCAATTCCGCCTAGAATACAATAAACATCTTGGTTTTGAATACAAGGGTAAGAAAAAGAGCACGTTTTTGGAAACCACGCCTTTTAGTAGTGATATACAAATGCCAGTTTTGGTCTGTAGGGAAGCCCAGTGGTTAAAGTGTTCGCCCGTCACGCCAAAGATTCGGGTTCGATTACCCACATTGGTACAATGTGTGAAGCCCATTTCTGGTGTGCCCCGCCGTGATATTGCTGGAATATTGCTAAATGCTGCGCAAAACTAAACTCACTCACAAGCTCTCACAATGTAATTTAGAAAGTGGTCAAATGTTACATATTTGGGATTACACTTTCTCAGTAAAGTATAGATTCTGGTACTTTTATTGGGTTGAGTCCCATCCGAGATTCGAACCGCATACCCTCAGAGACACAACTCAACACCGTAGCTACCACAAAAGTAGAAGTCTCCCCTCTGATACATGTGCAGTCCATTTATGATGCCCCCAGCGTCGATATTGAAGGCATATTGCTAAATGCGGTGTGCAACACTCACTCACTCAGTACAGCGCAATACCTTATATATTGCACTATTAAGCTGTAGATACATAGAGAATTTTATGCAATACGTTACTATAGTCTCATGACCATCTCCTTACCGAGATCATGGAGAAAGAAGAGATGGTTTCTCCATGCGCTGACGTGTGCAGGGTTGGCTGTCGTTGCATTCTGCCAGGCCCTGATCGCTTCATCACTGCGGCCTGCGTCTCGATACTGTTAACAAATAGCTACATGCTAATGATATCTGATGGTGGTGTGTGGTCCTGTGCACAGCCAACGTCTTTCAAAGGTGCCGGGCAATAAACTGACAAGAGCAACTTTCTGTTTCAGATTGTGGGCTATGGCAACCACCTCAGAGTCAGACACTAGATCTCTTGGGTTTCGTCGTGGCCAACATCAGAGTCAGGCACTAGATTTCTTGTGTTTAGTTGTGGCCAACATTGGAGTCAGACACTAGATTTCTAGAAGTGAGTTTGTACAAAATTGCCTCTTTTCACCCAGCAGAAGATGGGTACCCGGTGGGATAAGTCATGTGACTACATGTATTAACCTTCTTGCGCTTCATCCGGGGTAATAATAATGAGATTGTGCGCTTTGAGTATACTTATGGTTCTAAATATCGTCATAGGAATGCACTAATATTACTTGTTGAATAAGGACGTCAGCATATTGATCTGTTAGTTTTCGGGGATCCATTTATTTGATTTTACCACTTGTCTGCCTTTTGAAGCCAATTTTGAGAAAACGTTGAGACCAAAGATACATGATTTTTTACGGTTTTTAAAAAAATATTATCATGGATGAGATGTGACTCAGCACCTAGTTCATGGACTCAGGACATAGTTTATATACAAAATGGGCAATGCTTACCAGGTTACCCAGATTATAATAGCAGTCTGAGCATGTCTGGTTATGCTGGATGGATTGAAGAAAACTTGCTTCAGCCAGCGCATTCTTCTTCATCTTTGCTCTAACTACGCCCAGGTTCATCATAGCCTCTGTGTTGTCCGATCTGTAAATTGTGCTTAAATATGGATTTATCAAATCACTAACGCACACACACACGTGGCTGAGCTACCTGAACATGCCAGCGCTAATGGTCATGAAATGAATCTGAATGTTTTACACGCGCTACATAGCGAGAGTAATAGTTGGAATTAAAGGTCCTTGATTGGCAACACTATGGTGTTGCAAGGGCGGATACAGCTTTTTGAGAAAAGGGTGGTGCACACTTTCGAGAAAGGTATGTGTGTGTGTGTGTTGGACAATTCATTTTCACCAGTTTTCACGAGAGTTTCAATGGTCAATTAATAAACTCTCAGAACAAAAAGAGGGGGTGCGCTCCTGCACGCGCGCACGCACGCACACACACACACAAATGGATCCGCCTATGTGTTGACCTGAAGACAGGTGATAACGTATCGCTCCCCTGACTGTACTATGTTAAGATACCTTAGGCTGACAGCTCCTTCAAGCAAACGTTCCGCACCCAGATTGTCTCCCTTGCTCATTCGGATGAGGGCGAGGTTAGTCATGGCTTTGTCGGTCCAAGATTTTCCCTGCACACTTGAGCTATAGGAAAAGATATGTCATAGCATCTCTTGTCATAACTATTGCTGGCTAGGTTACTGGCTTTCTTAATAAACTGTTAGCACTGTATGTACACCTGCATACCCGCCATCGAGAACTTCAATGACTTGGTATCAATTTTGAAATTACACGATATATTTTCCAATACCGTCTCCACTGCCACTGACGAAATATGGAACCTTGGTGACTCATTCGTTTGCGTCCCTGCAGGTCCATATTCAGAGTTTGCACCTCTGAAGCATGGCACAAACGTGAGATAATGGGTCCGAATCCAAGTTTTGGACGCTAAATTTCTAGGAATCATTTCTGTGACCCTGAGTTTCGCAAAGGTTTAAGACCCGATTAACTTTGGGTTTTTGTCCTTCATCAATCCGACTCGTAATAGAATTTAAATGCTTTTCAAAACCGAATAAAATGGGTCTTGTGTCAGGGATAAGGTGGGAACTATTTTACCATTATCTACTTCAGGGAAGTGATGATCACTGATGACGATTATATGATGATTATACCTGACATTGACAGCCCGCTCCAGCAGCTGCTCCGCCTCATGGACGTTCCCTCTGTCTTTCATTATGGCGGCCAAATTAATCATTGCTATTTGCTGGGGAGGATTCAATCTATGTGCGAGAAATATCAAATAATCAGGATCATAATGATAATAACCACGTTACCTGTCTCTCTCAGCCGCAAAACATTTTAATCTGTAAAACGTCGCCTGAAAATCAGAGTGTTGTATGTCCACTTTTGGTGAAAATTGAGTTAGACAGCTCGGGGTATGCTTTTCTGCATATTCTATCTCTATGCAAATTTCATCGTGATTTATAGCCTAGAAAGATGGAGATCGGGAATTTGATCCCTAAATGAATCTAAAGGTAAGAAACTGTTTTGAAGTTGGTTTTTTGTTGATTCATTCACGCGATACATGTATAGTATTCTTATCTGTCCGAAAACCGGGTACGCGAGCATAATGTAATTCGTAAGCAATGAAATTGAAACTAGTTACAACAACATTACAACCTGGTAAGGGATTAATAATCATACAGTAATGGTACAATAATGATTCAGCTGCATTTCTGATACATAAACCACTCTGGTTCTGAACAAAATTACAAATCTATTTGGCCAAGTGTGCTGTCTCCAAGCGTATTTCGTTGATTCCTTATTTAATTCAAGAGCTTTAACATACCTTGGGTGATTTTCCAAGTCTTTTTGATATAACACATGTATATGCACAGTTCAAAAGAATTTGATCGAATAGTTTTGAAAATATTGTTGCTCTAAACTGCAAGGTCGATTTTCTCAAAAATAGGTTTTAGGACCTAGAGGACTCTGGTTTTCAGGCGTAACATAACACATTCATGCAAATAATAATGATAATTATTAGCAGATTCTAACAAAAAGTTTGATTCCATAACAAAGAAACACTTTGACACTATTCCCGATTTATCATTTGGCATTGAAACTGCAATATAGTATACTTTACTCACAGTCACTCAATTTAACTCGTTTTGCAACACCATATGCAGTTTATGCAGGTGCAGTTTAAGGCACATTTACGGTAACATGAACACTACAAGACAGAACCTTCTCCAGCTGGCAAACCATATGCATGGTACCTACGTCATGGTCAGTCTGTATTTCTCCACTGCAAAGTCTTTATTGTTGAGAGCATCATTCAGTTCCCCGATCCTGAGTTGAAGCTAAAACACCACAACGTATATAGAGAGTGAGTCAGTTCTGTACCACGTGGCTTTCATTTTCAGTCAGAATCGTTTTCCTGTAAAAGAATGCTCCACACATTCGGATATGACCCATTGAGTGAAACTAAGATATAATGCTGAAACACGGGTCATCGTCTTTGTGACTCCTTTATTAGAACTCTCAGACACATATTGTGCTTGTGCTGGACGACTGCTTTAGGTCATGGCACCAGTTTAGCGCTGTAGGCACATTGTAGACAAAACTATAAACGATATGACAACTAGGGATGCCACGATACACCGATACATCGATGAATCGATACTTTTTTCTAAGATACAATTATCGATACATTCAAAACATTCGATATTTAGTTTTGAAAGTATCGGTTTAAATAAACTCTGTCAAAAAAGAAACGCAACCCCTGTCCTCAGATATGAAAAATTCGTTTGAATGAAGTTATTGCTTCCAAACTAAATGTTATTCGAATGTATTGAAATTATACACGTAATTAATGAAGATTACCATCCAAACAACTGCATTTGTACGCATAAGTGTATTTTATTGCTTATTCCGTCACAACGCATGAAATGACCCTCATGGTGACTTCGCACAAAAAAAAAAACACATGCAAATCATGAAAATGGCAGTTACTGTAGGGGTGTATAAAAGCCCATGTGCTTTCGTATTATATTCATTCATTTGTCGCATGAAAAGCTGTGTGAAAAATGCCACGATTGAGTGCTGCCGACCGAAATATCGCCATTGGTCGTGTTCAAGCCGGAGAAAGTTTTGGAACTGTTGCACGGCACCTAAATGTTCACAAAACAACGATATCCCGACTTTGGAGCCGCTACAACAACTTCAATTTGACCAACGATCGCCCGAGAAGTGGAAGGCCAAGAATCACGACCCCCCCTTCAAGATCGGTACATCCGGGTCCATCACCTGCGTAATCGGCATGCCCTACCAACCGTGACTGCCACACAAATACCAGGTTTGAGGAGAGTGTCAGCTCAAACGATTAGGAACCGTCTGAAAGAAGCGGGTTTACGTGCCTGTAGACCAGTTGTTGGACCTGTACTACGCCCCCTACATCTCCGCCGACGACTCAGGTGGTGCAACAACGTAAGGATATGGACTTTACAAAACTGGAGGCGAATCTGGTTTTCTGATGAATCCCGTTTTCTTTTGCAACATCACGACGGAAGAAAACGTGTGTATAGGAGACGTCATGAACGTTTTGCGCCCATCTGCGTCCGACAGGGGGACAGATTTGGCGGAGAAAGCGTTATGGTTTGGGGATCCATCTCATACAACCAGAAATCAGACTTGGTGATCGTTGAAGGGGAACCTGACAGCCCAACGTTACATCAACCACGTATATCAGCCTCACCTTCTCCCGATTATTGACCAACAGACACAGATTTTTCAACCAGACAACGCCCGGCCTCATACTGCACGTGCAACAATGAACTTTCTGCAGAATTCCAACGTCAATGTCTTGCCATAGCCCTCTAAATCACCAGACCTCAACCCTATTGAACACCTGTGGGATACTCTGGGTCGACGCGTACGTCAACGTCAGCCGCCGCCACAGACGCTGCAACAGCTCGGCGTTGCACTGCAGGAGGAGTGGAGAGCCATTCCCCAGGAAAGAATCCGGCGTCTTATCCGTTCTTGTCCAAGGAGATGCCGTGCAGTGATTGCAGCTCGTGGTGCTCATACGAGATACTGAGAAAGACGCCCCCCTGGTGACAAACTGGTGTCTGTGAGATGACTTTTGAAATGACAATGTTAAACATGCCCATCTTGGTTATTATTCTGCCAAATTTCAGACTTCTGTCTTAAATAATAAAAATGCTGTGTCGTCTTAAAACTTCAGATCAAAATCTCTAAAATACAGGGGTTGCGTTTCTTTTTTGACAGAGTTTATGTTATGTATCGTTTACATTTTGCAATTGTATTATGGGTTTTTTTATGTTATGTCAGTTATAATTGATTATTGTTCATGCATAAAGATAAATTAGAACTTTTTAATCTCTAAGAATAAGAAATGTTCATGGACAATCATAAAATATCAAATATTACTGTTCAAAATGTAACTAAATTTACGCAGTAATGCCGCGAAAATAGGTATCGTGATAAGTATCGAGTCATGAAACTTATGTATCGTGACATCCCTAATGACAACATCTTTACATTCATACGTACATAAAACCAACGTATATCAACGTAACCAAGTATATAAACAAAACATCAAATAATTTCTTTTGATTAACGTCCATGGCGTTTTCAGACACATCTGTAGGGAGATCAATTGATATTTTCTGAGAGATATTGCAAACTACTGTGACGTCATCGCTTCACAATCACCACTAATCTGCCTCCAATTGATTTGGTTCCTTTAGAGCAAGTCCTTTTACAAAAGTTTGAAGAATGAATTTGGATGATAAATTGAATTTCACACTTTGTGATCTCTTTGATTGGCATTTTAGAAGTTGATTAGTTATAATGAAGGCAACTTGTTCATGCATCATATACTGAAAACCATTAAAGCGCAGTTGGTATTTGTTGTCCTGGAAGTTACAAAAGTTCTATTGAAGTGTTTTTTTCCTGCGATACAGAGGATGTAGGGATAAAGGGCTGTTAATCTGACCCATTTCGAGTTCGAGTCCCAGAGCATTCCTCTCACATGAGTGAGTGAGTGAGTTTAGTTTTAAGCCGCACTCAGCATTATTCCAGCTATATGGCGGTGGTCTGTAAATAATCGAGTCTGGACCAGACACCCAGTGATCAACAGCATGAACATCGATTTGCGCAATTGGGAACCGATGACATGTCTCAACCAAGTCAGCGAGCCTGACCACCCGATCCCGTTAGTCGCCTCTTACGACAAGCATAGTCGCCTTTTGTTGCAAGCATGGGTTGCTGAAGACCTATTCTACCCCGGATCTTCGCGGGTCTCCTCTCACGTGAACTTCGATGCTTAAAACTGAACCTTTGACATTTCTCGTAAACACAACCACATTCATGAAACACGTTGTGCACGTGCATTACCTGTAGCCAGGCCCTTGAAAAGCACAAGGAATTGTGAAAATCAATCACTTTGAGAAAATACCAAGCTTGACACAAGACAAAAGAACTCAAAGACGAAAGGTCAGTCAAGGTGCTTCAGATGTGATGATTGCCAGGCACTTGAATGTGCATCCATCCATCGACTCAGACAACGTTTTCGGGCCACCGGAAGTGTTGCTGATCGTCCGCGACCTGGTGGACCACCTGTGACAACAGATCGACAGGACAGCAATATCCAAGTTTCACACTTGCGAAATCGGTTCCAAACAGCTGCTGATACGGCAAAGAGGACAATCGGGACAAGACAACGTCATGCCAGCGCCCAAACAGTGAGAAGATGCCTTGCTGCCTTCAACATCCGGCGTTGTCAGCCGTACCGTGATCCAACCTTATCGCATCGCCACAGAGTTGCTAGACAGCGATGGGCAGCTAATAGGGCCAATCTTGGCAACAGGCCATGGCGAGATGTCACTTTTACAGATGAATCCAGGTTTAACGTATCCTTTGCAGATGGACGTCAACGGATTTATCGACGTCGAGGAGAAAGACTTGCGCCAAACTGTGTCATTGAACATGATCGTTTTGGAGGGTGGGAGGGTGGGGGTTTGGGTGGTGGTCATGATCTGTTGTGCTATCAATGCCAACTTCCTATCCCAGACAGTAGTAGTTAACAGCAATTACAGTGCTCAACGTTTTGTGGACAATATCCTTCGTACGGCTGTACTCACGGTGATGGATCAACATGGCGGTCGTAACCATTTTGTGTTTCAGCATGATAATGCACGTCCCCATGCAGCCAGGGTAACAAGGGACTTATTTAATAATGAAAATGTTCGTGTGATGGAGTTGCGTCCCTGATGTTGTTATTCATTGGACATTTTCAGATGAAATTATCCAAAGATGTTCACCTAAAACATATATGTCAGTTACATTTATATATGTTGCCATTTGTGTGAGTAAAGAAAGTATGAATGTCAAATTGCGTTTTAAATGGCTTGCAGTATATGTAATAAAGAAGTTGGTATCCATTAAGCACTGTGCCTCTCACCCTTATCTCACCCTTATCTTTGTGAACCAACTGAACCAACACTGCCTCTGCAACCCAGTATAAACTGTTATCGATTCGTGTTGATATATTGACATACAGGTTATCTGCACTGCTATCAACATGTACGTTCCTGTACCCAGGCATCGCAGTATCACATGCACAGTATCACAGAAACAGTCAAGCTTCTGCTATAGCTTCATTTAAGAAACGTAACACTTTCTAGTTGCCTGAGCTCTTTGATGTTGCGTCAAGCACTACTTGAGGGTTCAAGACTAGTGACTAATATTAACAAGAGATCTAAGATATTACAAATTGCAAGAGATCAAATGTCTGACTCTGATGTTGGCCACGACTAAATACAAGAGATCTGAGTGCCACCTGATCTCTGATGTTGGCCACGACTAAATACAAGAGATCTAGTGCCTGACTCTGATGTTGGCCACGACTAAATACAAGAGATCTAGTGCCTGACTCTCTGACTAAATACAAGAGATCTAGTGCCTGACTCTGATGTTGGCCACGACTAAACCCACAAGAGATCTAGTGCCTGACTCTGATGCCTGACTCTGATGACTAACGACTAAATACAAGAGATCTAGTGCCTGACTCTGATGTTGGCCACGACTAAACACAAGAGATCTAGTGCCTGACTCTGATGTTGGCCACGACTAAATACAAGAGATCTAGTGCCTGACTCTGATGTTGGCCACGACTAAATACAAGAGATCTAGTGCCTGACTGATGTTGTTAACCAATGCCAAAAGCAAGAAATCCAGTGTCTGACTAGTTAACCAATGTGTTAACCAATGCCAAAAGCAAGAAATCCAGTGTCTGACTAGTGTGTTAACCAATGCCAAAAGCAAGAAATCCAGTGTCTGACTAGTGTGTTAACCAATGCCAAAAGCAAGAAATCCAGTGTCTGACTAGTTTGTTAACCAATGCCAAAACAAGAAATCCAGTGTCTGACTAGTGTGTTAACCAATGCCAAAAGCAAGAAATCCAGTGTCTGACTAGTGTGTTAACCAATGCCAAAAACTGTTTCAGGAAATAAAACAGCCAATCAACGCATAGGGATGTGAGAAATTCCCCACGTCGCGCGTTTCCTTATAGAGAAATTTTCATTTTAGCGTTCTTTAGATCGAAAATTGATATGGGCAATAAAACCGACCATTTAATATCACCGACCATTTGTATATAATAAACCCTTTCTTGTGCAAGATTAAAGATACATATCAAATTAAATACTTTTGAAATCATGTTGAAAATGAAATGCTATAATTACAATAATGTAGCAAATACAATCATTAAGAGTGATGACACATGGAAAAAACAACAGTCCATTGCGTTTCCATTGCAGGAACAATATCACTCAGCCTTGACTTTAGACTGGAAGAATGTGAAATACATAACATCCTTCACACGGTTTCACATGGAAAGTTCATTATAGGCCTCTGTACTCTTACTACGTTGTCTGATTACAAAATTGTATAGGTTACTTAATTACAGTAACATAGAGAAGAACATGGCCATTGTAGGCCTCTGTACGCTTACTACGTTGTCTGATTACAAAATTGTATAGGTTACTTAATTACAATAACATAGAGATGAACATGGCCATTGTAGGCCTCTGTACTCTTACTACGTTGTCTGATTACAAAATTGTATAGGTTACTTAATTACAATAACATAGAGATGAACATGGCCATTGTAGGTCTCTGTACGCTTACTACGTTGTCTGATTACAAAATTGTATAGGTTACTTAATTACAATAACATAGAGATGAACATGGCCATTGTAGGTCTCTGTACGCTTACTACGTTGTCTGATTACAAAATTGTATAGGTTACTTAATTACAATAACATAGAGATGAACATGGCCATTGTAGGTCTCTGTACGCTTACTACGTTGTCTGATTACAAAATTGTATAGGTTACTTAATTACAATAACATAGAGATGAACATGGCCATTGTAGGCCTCTGTACGCTTACTACGTTGTCTGATTACAAAATTGTATAGGTTACTTAATTACAATAACATAGAGATGAACATGGCCATTGTAGGTCTCTGTACGCTTACTACGTTGTCTGATTACAAAATTGTATAGGTTACTTAATTACAATAACATAGAGATGAACATGGCCATTGTAGGTCTCTGTACGCTTACTACGTTGTCTGATTACAAAATTGTATAGGTTACTTAATTACAATAACATAGAGATGAACATGGCCATTGTAGGCCTCTGTACGCTTACTACGTTGTCTGATTACAAAATTGTATAGGTTACTTAATTACAATAACATAGAGATGAACATGGCCATTGTAGGTCTCTGTACGCTTACTACGTTGTCTGATTACAAAATTGTATAGGTTACTTAATTACAATAACATAGAGATGAACATGGCCATTGTAGGCCTCTGTATGGTTACTACATTGTACTTATTGTACATATAGTATATTATATCTATCTATCTATATTACGTTAGTAATATATGCACGCACGCGCACGCAGACGCACAAAGAGTCGAATGTTCCTGTACAACAGTACGTTCCTCTGTCAATGTATGTGCAGCTACTTGTTTAGAAGTTTTATGAAATCAGGGCACTTTGGTAGCCTACCTTCTTGGTTGTTGAATGGGCATGAAGACAGATCTGTCTGACCCCGAGCACCACCAACATACAGAAGCCAGCACAGGACAGGTACAGAATCCTCTCTGCGATCACGAAGCCCACACGGAAAAACAGGTTGCTGGCTGGCAGGAAGGGAACTCCCAACACTGCCAGGGACATTATCAGGATCCTGAACAAAACAGATGAACATGAACAGAGTTAAGACGTCTTATGTTAAGATGTAAGTCATGAAATACACAATGCCATTTCAGAAAGTGGTCAAATGTAACATATGTTATATTTGGGATTACAGTTTCTTAGTAAAGTACAGATTCTAGTACTTTCTGTACAGATTCTGTGTGCTGGCGATTAGGTGCCTGACTCTACCCCAAAATGGAACTCAACCCCAAAAGTACTACAATCTGTACTTTACTAAGAAAGTGTAATCCCATGTGCTACAAGATGTAAGTCGTTCTCATGATATAGTCACAATTGTACAATCGACTCTACTTTGGGCAGAGATTTATTATGAATGTGGAAACGGATTTGTCGCTTCTATTAATCAACTGTTTCCATGCGGTGATATACTTTATTGATTGTTCTTTTTAAGTCTATTTAAATGAAAATGTTATTGTGGCATATTACAAATGCTAAGCCTGATCTCTTCTTTGGCATAGCTGATACAAACCAAACATCAGGACATGGGGACGCCGGGGGTATTTGGCAAAAAGAAAGAAATCCAGTGTCTGACTATTGTGTTAACCAATGCCAAAAGCAAGAAATCAAGTGTATATGGCATACTGTTTCTCTAGGGAAAATCAGCTTTTGTCGAAAACCTGCTCATATCTGAGTATTTGAATAAAACACGTGTATTCCATAACGGCATAACTGTTCTCCTTTTCATAGCCATAAATACCCTGCAGGTCAAACGTCTTCTTTCGTCCTTTGTACATATTCTTTAGCCTCGAGCGTTTAATATGTGTGTGGTTGTTCGCTTAACATGGCCTATCACATTGAGTCCTATTCACCAACTACAACTGTCGTGACCAACTCGTGTTATTCCGGGACAAGCCGAATAGCGATGGAGGTTACGGAAAGGGACGAGTGGTGACGAATGGAGGTTACGGAAAGGGGCGAGTGGTGACGAATGGAGGTTACGGAAAGGGGCGAGTGGTGACGAATGCAACTACAACTGTCGTGAAATAGCGAAAGGCCACGGACAAGAGGGTATCATGGCAATCAACCGTGACCAGGGAACGTAGCTGCCTAGCGCTTGGGACTATTAATTCCATTATCAGTTGTAGTTTCTATGTCATCGTGCTTGTCAACTACAGTACTATTAATGCCTTGATTCATTCCTGGCTTCTATTTCTTTATTGCCATTACCGATCAGCGCCATTAACCATTGTCTTCGCTTGTTAAGTGCAGTCATTGTTATCTCATCATTGATGCAGGGAATAATAAGTGGCATCTATTTGTCCATTACCATTACCAATCGGCGCCAATCACCTTCTGGGTTCCCTTGTTGTTGTATCCCAATTGCGTAGAGCAATGCTCATGCCGTTGATCACTGAATCTTCTGATCCAGACTCGATTATTTGCAGATCGCCACCATATAGCTGGAATAGTGCTGAGTACGGCGTTAAACAACAAACAAACAAACAAACCTTGATGTTGTTTTATCACTGTTACTTTTTACTAGTTTTTTCATTCACCTGACGAAGGAGTTCCTATTTAGCAAGGAGGAATTAAAGACACTCACTCATTGCATACTGTCATCACCTTAGATGCCTACCAGGTTTTGCATAGCATCGTCTGTAAACTGTCTTTGCCGTAAGTACCTCCCCCCCCCCCCCCTTACATATTGTATTCGGTGCATTCATGATAACACGGCTTTTCGACTGCATTTATCAATTGATTCAACTTTAAAACCAAGGTAATTTTCTCACCTGCGATCATTTGTAAGTTGGCCATGATAACAATGGAAGGCTAAAACCCCAAACCCAGCCCAGAGAAGTACGTCCGCCAGGATTCTGGGATCAGCCAATGAGGTGATGACAGGTATACAGCCCATCGACCAATCACAACACAGCCACCATGGGTTTAAAAGCAGCCAGGTGTTGATGGCATAGAGGTAGTTGTAGTTTAAAGCCTGAAAATGTAAGTGATGAATTCTCGATTTAATAGAACGGTACATCCTCGATAATCTCGATAATCTCCGGGGTATACGTATTACCTCCCTTTGCTCGCTTTTAATGCAATCAGGTGAACCAATCACAAGGCTTCTTTCATAACGATTAAACTTCGCAACATAAGTGCTACAGAGGTACCCTGAAAGAGGTAGAATGAGTTCTTTCAGACCTGTCAGTTTGTCTGTATGATTTTTTCCCTAAATCTAAGTCGCACAGTGAGTAAACCTTCGCGCGCCTGCGGCCGACATCTTTGTTGACACTGGCAAGCTCGGTTGTAACGGCTTATCTGATTGGCTACTGAGAGAAGGCGGAGCCAGCAAAGGGAGGTAATACAATTATGAGCCTGAGCCGTAGATGTATCCAGGATACTAGTGAAGATTATCGAGGATGAGAACGGCATTGGTATTCAAGAAACAAACCCTTTCAGTTTTTGTGTGATAAATATCATTGTTGGGTGTAATACGAAACTGTTATATCCATTGTACCTTTTTTTCGGTGAGTGAGTGAGTGAGTTCAGTTTTACGCCGCTTTTAACAATATTCCAGCTATATCACGGCGGGGGACACCAGAAAATGGGCTTCACACATTGTACCCATGTGGGGAATCGAACCCGGGTCTTCGGCGACGAGCGAACGCTTTAACCACTAGACTACCCAACCGCCCCTTTTTTCGATGAGTCTAGTATTTTGATACTAGATGCCTTTGCTTTGCTGTATTTAAAACAGAACGCTTGACTTGTCAATAAAGTTGTAAATAAAGTGAATTTACCTCGGCTCAGAGAGCCTTAGAAGTGGAATGAACTTTCACCAGAAGTTTAAAGCAAATTGACTCACTCTGTAGAACGTGACCTCGACAAAGGAATGTGGATTGTCTTTGACTAAGAATGTGGGCGCTGATCCCGTTATCCACAGCCGTGACACGATGAGAGAGATGCCAGTCAGGAACAAGATGAGCTGACGTGTGACGAGTGCCTTCAGCCAAGGGTAGGGACGACGCTGGAACATACAGTTAGTGAGTGAGTTTAGTTTTCGCCGCTTTTAGCAATATTCCAGCAATATCACGGCGGGGGACACCAGAAAACATCAGCCTTGCACTGTTTCATGCTAGGTATGACAAGTGACACAGAGGGAGGTTCACGGAGAACAGGTTGTGTTGTTTCAACTGTCCGGAAATGGAAAGGCGATAGACTTCCTATACAAGCCTTTTTGGGGACGGAAATATATATTAACATATGTTCAGTACTTCCCATCGGGTGTTATTATTTTGATTCTTGATGACTGGTTAGTGTATACTAATTGCTCCGTTGTTTTCTGTATTTGAGCCGAGACCATTCGTCAGCACTTGCATATTTCCGTAACCAGCTTAAAGGCTTGTACCGGGTGATGCGAGCCGACAGGAACTGCGAAGAGGTTGGTTGGTTGGTTTGTTTGGTGTTAAACGCCGCACTAAGCAATATTCCAGCTATATGGCGGCGGTCTGTAAATGAGTGAGTCTGGACCAGACAATCCAGTGATAGACAGCATGGGCATCGATCTGGGCTATTGGGATACCATGGCATGTGTCAACCAAGTCAGCACCCGATCCCGTTCATCGCCTTTTACGACGAGCATGGTTTGCTGAAGACCAATTCTAACCCGGATCTTCACGGGTGGAATTGCAAAGAGGCAAATAGCAACGCAGTGTTCTTAGATACCGCACTGGCATGAATTTTATATAATACATCCACTCACAAATAAGAATTGTGGATTTTCTGCCCTTCATAAAAGCATTCAGTGTCGAAAGTTCTCCAAACTCTGAACTCATTAAATTTATCCCTTTGCGGAAGGTGATCTAAAAGTCTCAAAGTACCTGTTTCTTGACGTTGCTAATCCTGTCTTCAGAATCCTGTTTCTTCAACCCAAGCCAGCGAAACGGATCCACCCTACACACAACGATGACGTCAAACACGCTGCACACACCCTGCAAATTCACAACACAAACCTATGCTACAAATACAGTATTTCAGATATATGTCAGCTAACTGTAGGAGAAACGACGCCTGTAGCGATACAGGTCCTAGACATTCATCATAGGTTTCTGGCATTCCAAAGGGACGCAACTCTTCACAGCAAATTGAGGTGCCTTAAATGATGTTGGATCTATTACCTTCCCCGCAATGATCCGGATTACAATTTGACTTCAGGAACACTTGCTTGTCCCAAAAGGCGACTAAAGGCATCGGATGACTTGGTTGATACATGCCCTCGTATCCGAATACTTTGTTGATCGATGCTCATGATGTCACCTGTATGGTCCAGATCTGATTACTTACAGAGCGCTGTTACACAGCTGACACATTGTGTTAAACAACACACGAAACATATACTTACTATGACAGTGATGCCCTGCTCCTTACAGAAGGTGGACACGACACACAGACACATACTGGCCAGTATAGACACCAGGGAGAAGGACTCGGGACGGTAGCTGACAAAGCATGAAGCTGAAATCAGAAAGATCCATGACACGACACACAGACACATATTGGCCAGTATAGACACCAGAGAGAAGGACTCGGGACGGTAGCTGATCAAGCATGAAGCTGAAATCAGAAAGATCCATGACACGACACACAGACACATATTGGCCAGTATAGACACCAGGGAGAAGGACTCGGGACGGTAGCTGACCAAGCATGAAGCTGAAATCAGAAAGATCCATGGCAAGACACACAGACACATACTAGCCAGTATAGACACCAGGGAGAAGGACTCGGGACGGTAGCTGACAAAGCATGAAGCTGAAATCAGAAAGATCCATGACACGACACATAGACACATACTGGCCAGTATAGACACCAGGGAGAAGGACTCGGAACAGTAGCTGACCAAGCATGAAGCTGAAAGCAGAAAGATCCATGACACGACACACAGACACATACTGGCCAGTATAGACACCAGGGCGAGGGACTCGGGACGGTAGCTCACCCGAGATGACGCTGTAAAACAGAATCAACGTCAACAACAGTTTTACTGTAGACCTGTAGGGGTCTCCTGTATGTGTTGAATTATGGGAAACAGCAAGCAGCTATAGGAACTTACATGAGAGGCAGGCCCTGGCGTACAGCAAGAATGATAGAAGGAAGGTCAAGGCACACAGCAGGTCTGCCCGACCCACGACCCCTGCTACCTGGAACATTATATGAGCTGAGGCATTATTGGAGTCTCATAATTTGCCAAACAATCTCATTAGATAATTTCAGTGAAATAGCCACTTTATAATATTTGAATGGAGTGGACAAGGTATTTGCCCTGAAACATTTTCTTTCCAACACTGAGAATTGTATTAGTGTTGATATCCGTTTTAAATGCTGTGAATATAAAGAGGTTAGGAGGATAAGGTTGGTATTTCCGAAGCCTTGAATGACAATATGTAACCATCAAAAGGACATTATCAAGCAATGGATGAAACATTGCATTTATTAAAACTATTTATTTATCAGTTATTTATCAGAACTACTCACACTCTCAGTGTGAACTGGATGCACAGCAAACAATACAGCACACAGGAGAGCAGCTCGGGGCGAGGCAAACACCGGCCTGGCAGATTCCTGGTCCACCTGGTAACCAGACATGAGGACAGAGAATACTGCCAGGAAGATGACCGACACCAAGCCGTGCAGGACGATGTTGACAACGTGGAAGCCCCGAGGATGTAGTCCACCCGCCCATGAGTAGCTCCACCTGCATGCCGATAAGATAAAACCCAACTATGACAAACTACTAAGCAAGAAACTAAAACATGGGAAAGGTATGAGGTGACCTGGAATTTAAGAATTTAATCCAAATGTTGGACATAAACTGATAAGGAGAAATGGGGATAACGTCACTTTCAAGATTACTGCTCTCATTTCGAGACAAAATGCTTGCACTAGTCCTATAACGTTATACTCCTCTCAAGAGATTCGCTTATAATGGCATGGCCCTCTCAATGTGATCAGACCCGTGAAGGTCCGGGTTAGAATATTGATCTTCAGTAACCCATGCTTGTCGTAAGAGGCGACTAATGGGATCGGGTGGTCAGGCTCGCTGACTTGGTTGACACATGTCATCGGTTCCCAATTGCGCAGATCGATGCTCATGCTGTTGATCACTGGATTATCTGATACAGACTCGATTATCTACAGACCGCCGCCATATAGCTGGAATATTGCTGAGTGCGGCGTAAAACTAAACTCACTCACTCACTCAATGTGATCAGCCCTATATAGTCATGGGCTACTCAGTGTGATCAGCCCTATAACGCTATAGCCCTCTCAATGTGATCAGCCCTATAATGTCATGACCCTCTCAATGTTATCACCTCTATAACGACATTGTCTTCTCAATGTGATCAGCCCTATCACGTTATGGTCCTGTCAATGTGATCGGCTCTATAACAATATTGCCTTCTCAATGTGATCAGCCCTATAACGTTATGGTCCTGTCAATGTGATCAGCCCTAGAACGCTATAGCCCTCTCAATGTGATCAGCCCTATAATGTCATGACCCTCTCAATGTTATCACCTCTATAACGCCATTGTCTTCTCAATGTGATCAGCCCTATCACGTTATGGTCCTGTCAATGTGATCGGCTCTATAACAATATTGCCTTCTCAATGTGATCAGCCCTATAACGTTATGGTCCTGTCAATGTGATCGGCTCTATAACGATATTGCCTTCTCAATGTGATCAGCCTTATAACATCAGGTGCTCCGCCATATAACGTCATGGCCCTCTCAATGTGATCAGTTCTATAACGACATGGTCCTCTCAATGTGATAAGCTTTATAATGTCATGGCCCTCTCTATGTGATCCGCCATGTAACGTCATGGGCCACACAATGTGATCAGCCCTATAATGTCATTGCCCTCTTAATGTGATCAGCCTTACAACGTCATCTCCCTCTCAATGTGATCCGCCTTACAACAGCATGGCCCTATCAATGTGATCAGCCCTCAATGTGATCAGCTTTATAATGTCATGACCCTCTCAACGTGACCAGCCTTTTCACGTCATGGCCCTCTCAACGTGACCAGCCTTTTCACGTCATGGCCCTCTCAACGTGACCAGCCTTATAATGTCATGGCCCTCTCAACGTGACCAGCTTTATAATGTCATGGCCCTCTCAACGTGACCAGCCTTATAACGTCATGGCCCTCTCAACGTGACCAGCCTTATAACGTCATGGCCCTCTCAACGTGACCAGCCTTATAACGTCATGGTCCTCTCAATGTGATCAGCATTATGACGTTCTGAACAAAATCAAGATCATCATGTTGACTACATCACCAGTCGTCATGCCATCGGCCTTCACTGATCCTATGCCAGGACTTTCCTCAGGGTTTCCAAAAATATGGTGGAAGTCCTGAAAGTTCCCTCTTACAGACAAAACAGTCTTGACACAATGTAACGATGTATCTGTAACAACACCTTCCTATGAAGAGTAGAGGAGGTCGGGTAGCCTAGTGGTTAAAGCGTTCGCTCGTCACGCCGAAGACCCGGGTTCGATTCCACACATGGGTACAATGTGTGAAGCCCATATCTGGTGTCCCCCACCGTGATATTGCTAGAATATTGCTAAAAGCGGTGTAAAACTAAACTTACTCACTCACCCTTATGAAGATTACGTTCTTTATCCCTCATGCTCAGTGTTATCATATAAAGAACGTCACACCAACAGTAGAATATTGTATATGTCTAGCATAGCACCTCCATGCTCAGTGCTATCATATAAAGAACGTCACACTAACAGTAGAATATTGTTCATGTCTAGCATAGCACCTCCATGTTCAGTGCTATCGTATAAAGAACGTCACACCAAAAGTAGAATATTGTATATGTCTAGCATAGCACCTCCATGTTCAGTGCTATCATATAAAGAACGTCACACCAACAGTAGAATATTGTACATGTCTAGCATAGCACCTCCATGCTCAGTGCTATCATATAAAGAACGTCACACCAACAGTAGAATATTGTATATGTCTAGCATAGCACCTCCATGTTCAGTGCTATCATATAAAGAACGTCACACCAACAGTAGAATATTGTATATGTCTACCATAGCACCTCCATGTTCAGTGCTATCATATAAAGAACGTCACACCAACAGTAGAATATTGTATATGTCTAGCATAGCACCTCCATGTTCAGTGCTATCATATAAAGAACGTCACACCAACAGTAGAATATTGTATTTGTCTAGCATAGCACATCCATGCTCAGTGGACACACGCACTCACGCACACACACACAGAGTAAACAATAGTTAATGCTCAATGATCAGTTTAGGTATATGCAAACAAATGTTTGAATTGGGTTTTTTTCCCAGGTATAAACCGTTATTATTACTTTTACATTTATTACAAGCATGTTAGAACTTTAGCTAACGTCTGCATTATCTAAAAAAATAACACATCCCTTTCACGTACGCACGTACGCACGCACAGACACACTTGTTAACGTCTTTGTATTAGTGCACGAATCTTCAACGGTCAGTTAAATCACATTTCACTTCACGTTACACACGTCCAGCATAAATGCTGTTGTTTATAGTAATGGACAAGGTCCGTTCCTTACCTGAAAGTCATCACTGTGAGGGGTCGGTAGGATTTGTGGCTTCCATCCTCCAACTGCGCCCCCCAAAAGTCATGAGCGAAAACGGTGGATAGCGGGGTCTCTGGAAGCACGTCTTTGTTGGTGGTGATGGCAAAGTAATCGTCAAAAACAAATTCCCCGTCATAACTGTTCGCAAAACACAGCACCGCCAGACAGAAGACGAGGACAGATGCCACAGAGAATCTGAGTTTGGGTACAGGCAGCACATCATCCCAACGTGGACGGATGTCATTTACAACTCCATTGACCTTGGAGAACATTGATTTAGGCCTTGTCGCTGTCTGCTGGGTTGATATGCCCTATAAACAACACATGTTTATTCACTATACACGTACCGATAAAATACTACATTTATGTGAATATTTTATTCGACATTCCACTCTAATAGACACTTAATTCACCATTGACACAAGAGAGTCTACAGACTACAGAGTCTGTTTTTAAATATCATTGATATCATATAACAGAAATAAGAAATGTATTATATATACGAGCCTATAGAGCATAATACACATTTTTACTCCTAATATATGATATTAATGGTACGGAAGCACGCGATGTTAATAATCTCTTTATCACATGATGTCCTTAAAATGACTCTTTAAAAAAGAAGCAAATCGTACGTGAATTTATGTGAATAGAATCGAGCGCTCGCGTAAGAATACTTAGCGGTACACCAAGGTGAAGGTCGTCATCCACGCAATAGAAAAAAAAAATCATGCAAACTCGCGACGCCGTCATCAATAGAACGTTTTAGGATTCGCATGGAGTGTATGGAGTTTTGTGAAAGTTGTTCGTGTATTGACCTAATTTGCATATTTATCAGATTTGGATACCAAGTTTATCAGATTGCTTTAATGCACCGATAACACCCTCCATTATATATTAAACGCCGTTCTTGGGAAGTTTTCCTGCTATATCACAGCATATTGTCACCCAAATCGTCCTTTAAACCTTTCCTGCAGTAGGAGGGTCCGCCTCCGTGGTGTAGTGGTTAGAGCGTCCGCCCGTACTTGTTGGTCCGTGCCTGGCGCTCGGTATTAATGGGTACAACAAGGACTGGTCGGCTTGGACTCAGTATAATGTGTCTGAGGGGGTATTCATGCTTCACTGCGGCATGGTATCTCAGTGGGCTAGCACTATAAAACCAGCTTCAGTCTGGGCTAGTACAAGCATGCACACATACACACGCATGCACGTATTCACATGAGCGAAATATTCTCAAGCTCGACGTTAAACCCAATTTCACCTCACCTCACCTCCAGCAGTAGGAGTCCTATTACGTGGAAACTTGCATAGATCTTGTGACTGTGAATATAAACATACAAACCTTGCTACCCAGTGTAAGGCTTCAGAAGGGTGTACGCTTGTGTCTCAACACGTACTTGTCATGGTATCCTTGTACACCTGCTCTGCTTCAAAATACCTGCTTGCTGTCAAAACGCCCCACTTCCCGTGTGCCTCTTGGACAATAGAAACATTGACTGGGTCGCCAGCTTGTCGGTTGTATGGACGTATCAGCATGGTCACAGATGTACAATTATGAGAGACTATCCAGATCGAATCTCTTTAACATCACTGCAGTCGTGAATTTGCAAGGCCTAATGGTAACGAAGTATTCATGATTCGACTTGTTACAAGCCTGATAACGATTAAAGTCTTTGAATGACAAGTGAGTGAGTGAGTGAGTGGGTTGATGAGTGAGTGAGTGAGTGGATGGGTGAGTGAGTGAGTGAGTGATTGGGTGGGTTCTGAGTGAGTGAGTGAGTGAGTGGATGGGTGAGTGAGTGTGTGGGTTTTGAGTGAGTGAGTGAGTGGGTGGGTGGGTTCTGAGTGAGTGAGTGGATGGGTTCTGAGTGAGTGAGTGAGTGAGTAGATGGGTGAGTGAGTGAGTGAGTGTGTGGGTTTTGAGTGAGTGAGTGAGTGGGTGGATGGGTTCTGAGTGATTGGATGGGTGAGTGAGTGAGTTAGTGAGATGTATAGCTTGCAGTATCACTCCATTTGCGAATATAGTGAGAGAGAGAGAGAGACAGAGAGAGAGAGAGAGAGAGAGAGACAGAGAGAGACAGAGAGAGAGAGAGAGAGAGACAGAGAGAGAAAGAGAGAGAGAGAGACAGAGACAGAGAGAGAGAGAGCAAATTGTTCTTAACACCAAGACTACAGCTGTTTTTCGAATGAAGTTTGCAGCCACACGTTCCAGGTTAGAGCGAGTGAGTGAGTTTAGTTTTACGCCGCTTTTAGCAAAATTTAGCAAATTCACGGGGGTACACCAGACATGGGGTTCACACAATATACCCATGTGGGGGTCTTCGGCGTGACCAGCAAACGCTTTAGCCGAAAGGCTCCCCCACAACCAAGTTTCTATGTAGATGTTACAGTTAAAAAACCGCTGTACAGTAATGATTTACATACTGGGTGTTGTTGTGCAAAACTAGACTACCTTAAGTCTATGTTAAGGTATGCGAGTTACGGCCATCTTAGTGCTAAGACTACCTTAAGTCTATGTTAAGGTATGCGAGTTACGGCCATCTTAGTGCTAAGACTACCTTAAATCTATGTTAAGGTATGAGAGTTACGGCCATCTTAGTGCTAAGATCGCTTTGTACAGAGGCACCCTCAGCTGGTTTTGAAATAAAAAAAATATGTTTTGGGTTGACTTGAATGTTGTATACAGGTTGAAATAGCCCTATATCCGCCATTTTGATTTTATGACGTCATCATCGAACACCTGGCTGACCTCATTTCACAGGGGTGTCAATGACCTTGTACCGAGTTGACCTTGGATTAAACAACTTTTCCAAGAGGTATTTTTAGATCAGGAGCATAGCAACCGAAAAAGAATGACATCAGGGTAGTCATGTAGATTTACATGTGTAAGAGTGTGCAAACTCACTCCGGTGTGACTCACCCTGACCGAGGGGTCAATAACCGCGCGTCCCGTGGGAAACACATCATAGCATCACACCATGACATCATCCCATTAATTTAGACCAATCAGTGTAGAACAACTATCGGACTGACTGGACCACTGACCACAAACTAGTTTCATCCGGTTTCAATTTTAACTATAAAAACCCCTTAATTCAACATCATGCATCACTTGCCGACTGCACTTTGAGGTGACTTCACGACCAACAAAACCATTTGAGCTCTTGAGTGTCTTCAACAAGTTCAACAAACGAGAGGTTTGTATGTTTATATATTATATGTTGTGCAAAAAACACACGATGTTTACATTTTACACACCGAGTAACCTTTTTTGCTGTCGCGTGTGATTGCTCAGAGTGGGCACCCCTTAAGGCTGAATCACCACAGTAATCGCTCACATTCCTGAACGGGCGTGTGCCCATTGAACCCCCACAGACAGCATTAAGCGCTCCAATTTCCTGGAGTCGAAGTTAAAAACAGAAACACATGTGTCAAATGCTTCGTTTAAACACGAGGAGTTCATTCGCGCGCATCCGTTAAGCTGTCGCGTGTACACAAAATTTGTCAGGGCTCAAACGCGTGTAACCGTTAAATTACCGGGTTTTTTTTATATTAGTAAATCAGTTTATGTCTTGAATATAATTCCGCACTGTTAGGTTTTACAAATAAAACTATAATTAAAACAAAAGCAACATACTTACATCCACCATATTCCTCTTGGAGAAATCCTGCGACATTATCTTGTTCTCGGGTTGATCAGTTGGTAGCTTAATTCTATGTATGTAATTGGATGCCTTATTAAACTTTTAGGTATCACAAAAACATACACAGTATTTTTTTTCTACCATTTTTTTCTGTATCTATTTTATTTTACAAAATATTTTTATTGACATAAAAATATACATGTACATTGCATTGCCTTTGTCCGTCGTTCTGAAAAAAAAGAAAAGAATTTTTTTATTTTACACATGTAGGTGATGATGATACAATGAACAAAAATGGTTTATCTTTGAGTCAGTAAGTTTTCAATCACATCCAACTGTCTAGTTGAATGATTGTAACCATGTATGATTTTAGTTACTTCCATTTTAACCGATTTTAGTTACTCAATTCGTCATTCCGTCAGTCAGTAACCTAAAGAGGTTTTATTGCTGTCGAAAAGAAAGAGGGGGAAAAAATAAGTACTTACTCAATGGGGTAGCAAATCCATGATTGCTTGGAGGTGTGCCCGGATTTGGGCACACCTCTCATTCAATGAAACGACCTTTAGAGGTCGTGTCATGTGGACATCCCTGAAACAACATGCAAAATATATCATGAGATAACACATACTAAAACCTTAGAATCAATATTGTGTAAAACAAAAGCAATCTCACTTAACACTCAATGTAAATTATATTTCTTTTAAACAAAAGTATTAGGTAATACATCAACTAAGTCACACTCACAGCAGGTCTTGTTCCTGCTGCTGCTGTTGTTGTTGTTGCTGCTGCTGTTGTTGTTGTTGCTGCTGTTGCTGTTGTTGTTCAGCTAGATAAGACTATAAAAAACAAACAAAAAACCGCATTACTCATGCCTTCCTCACACGTATAATAAAATATGTACCTACTGTAGCCGACTTTTAGTGAGATAGATCTGAAACAACATAATATTTATAGTCAGTAGTGCTTTTGCAATTTCATAGCATAGTTAGAGATACTTACATCCACAGCTTTATCAATCTGATGGAACAACTCCATGTCCCTGTTAAAAAAAAGGAGTACACCTACATTAAAAAATATGAAGATGTTTCTAACAGGCAATACATAAGGAATAACACATGCACGCGCGCACGCACACACACACACACACACACACACACACACACACATTATTCACAAACATTTTTAATGTCAATAATTTAAAATAGTATAATGAAATAAAAATATTTCAAAAGGAATCGCAGAATCGTTTTTTAAAAATACAAAATCTATAAAGCTTTTCATTATTATCTTTTTTGTCACATGTAAAGAATAACACTTATAGTTTTAGAGTAACAAGAAATATAAAAATACTTACAAATCATTTTCGCCCCAAACGATTTCGTCTTTATTTTGGAACGATGCCATGTTTTTTTGCAATAATGTGTAAAGGAACATGAAACATTGGATTTTTATAGTAATGCCACATGAATATATTAACCTTAATTTTTAACACCACATATACCCAATAGTGTTTCAATGTCTGTGGAATTAGGTTTTAGGGTATTATGACATAGATGCAGACGGCACCTCATTTCCCTTGGCAACACACTCCTTGGTTTGGGCTGTTAACGTTCCATAACGGAAATACAAGTTCTTTGATAATATTGCATCAGGTCGCTGACATGATATCCATCTGTTTTTTAACGTTCCGAGGACTCCTGTACATTCTAATGGAGTGTTGCCCTTACATTTCCGGCCACATCGGTCTTTGAGTGTGGTTAAACCCAGTTTGACATCATTTTTTGCCTCAGTGTCAGTGAACTGAAGTCTCAATTATACAGTTTATTAACACAGATGTATCTGCACGTTACTGACACGTGTGTAATTCGAAACATAGCATGGTGCGTGTTAAGTGTTTTCATGACGATGCGCGGCTATTTTGAAAATCCGTTGAGACAGAAATTTGGAAAGTTTAGTTGATCAATTCATATGGCAACTAAAGTGTTTTGGAAAAAAGAAGAAACTGCCATTGTATATTAGCTTTTAGGGATAACTTTTTAATTCTTATAATAAAACAGACACAATTTATTCAATGTTTTAAGACCTCAGACCCATACATAGGAATTTGGGTATAGATTCATGCATGCACAGTAGTCATACCATTGAAACATATTAATAGTGTGGAGTTAATTGCGTAGCTTGAAACATTACTGACATATTTTTGTGTTTGTTAAATAGTCTCTCATAACAGAACTGTTTCCGTTTGTTTTCACAGAATGGAACAAGAAATCTTAAACCAGTGCCTCCCCCATATCAAAACTGTAGATGAGTTGCTCCAGTTTGCAAATTACTATAATGTAAAACACCTACCCATCGTTCAACAGCGTTTGTTCACTTTGCAATTTGAAGAATTGTGTCAAAATTTAAATTTGGAAGCGGATTGTCCCAGCATGCCTGTTACAGATGTCACAGATATAGTGACTCACTCCCCTACTAGAAAACGTTCAAATTCCCCCCTTCCTGGCCCATCTAGTAAACAACCTCGACTGGACAGTCTTTTCACAGAGGATTTACACATCAATTATGAGGACTATTTAGATTTTGACTTTGATGATGTCATGTTTCATCAAGTCGGACTAGGTGAAGATGACAGTCGTCCCTATGAGTTTAGTCTAAGGAAACAGCGTACATTTGCTAAACATGCAGCGGTTGAAAAAGTGTATAACGTGAGATTTAATGATCAATGGAGAGGTCAAAATTTAGCTGACCTTCACGGTCGGCTGCATAACATGTTTGATGATGTGTTAAGTCAAGCTAGGGGGCAGTTAGAAGATTCTGATTTAGGACGTGTCGTATTACACCATGACAAGTT